TATATGAGAGTATTCATTTCCCCGATCTTCACCAGCATTTGATGTTATATGTTGATATTAAAAATTTTTCAATCTAATATGCTTTTAAAAAATTATCTCATTGATGTTTTAATTTACATTTCCCTAATTACTAGTGAAAAGATATACTTTTCTTTATCTAATAACAATTCATATATTTTCTATTTACTGCCTCTTTATATCCATCATGTACATGGAAAAAACATTTTTTTAAAAAGACTTTATTTATGTATTTTTAGAGAGAGGGGAAGGGAGAGAGGAAGAGAGGGAGAGAAACATCAATGTGTGCTTGCCTCTCACACAGCCCCATCTGAGACCCTGGCCTGCAACCCAGGAATGTGCCCTGACTGGGAATCAAACCAGCAGCCCCTCGGCTGGCAGACTGGCACTCAGTCCACTGAGCCAAACCAGTCAGGGTGAAAATTTTATTTTTCAGTCTTCTTTTCTTTTCTTGACCTTGATGTTTGTCAGATATTTAAAATGTGTCTAATCAAATATATTTCTCTTTTCTGTTTTTTGTATTTCTCTTTTCTGTTTTTTTTTATATTTACAAGAGAGAAATATATTTCTCTTATGGTTTCTGGTTTTCCTGATCTGCTTCTACATGTGTCCTCTTCCACAATCTTTTTCTATTTGTAACTTTTAAAATATTTATTTTCAAATCCTTTTTAAAAGGATTTTAAACATATAAGATCTACATTTTAACAGAATTCCAAAATGCCTGTCCTCAAAATACTGACTAACATGGGATCTGCAGAATTGATGGCAGTATTGCAAAAGATTTTTTTAAGAAGCAGACACTAATCCTATTAGCAGTTAGTATTTATTAATAGAAGCTTATCCAACCTATCCTGTAAAGCATCTTGTGACACTATACAAAATGGGCCAGCTTCCTGAAACTGTATCTTTGCAGTTTAAATCACAAATCCTCAATAGTCAATATCTACTTAGCACTTCATGGTTTGCAATGGCTCCCACATCTGTAATGTTTGTGCTGGGTGGGGCACGGCAAACAAAAATGATATGCACACAATTGTTCTGTCTCCCAACACCTGAAAGGGAAGGATGGGGATTCAGAGAGGTGAAGTGCCATGCTCATGCCCAGGATCTTAGCCACAAGTTTCCTGAGTCCAGGTCAAGAACAGCAAACTGTCCTGGAACAGAATGCGGGTCTGGCTGCCTGCTGCTATGAAAGCCAAAACTCCAGAGGCAGGTGCTGTTGTAAAGGAAAGTGGTTTATTTTCAGGTGCCTCCCACCTGGAAGATGGGGGAGTCTTGTCTCGAAGCCCATTTCTACCTCTGAATGGAGGCAGAGGTTTTTATAAGGAGGGAGAGAGGAACAGAACAAAGAGATCAAGGGAGGGGGTTGAAAGTTCTCTACGTGCAGATGAGCACAGTCTACTCCGATAAGGCAAGTGACAGCCCTGTGTGCAGCATCCTGGGTTCACGTCACCCTGGCCCCGTGGATGAAGGTCCCCAAATCTCCTGGAGCTGGCATGCCTTGCCTGAAGGTCAGAGTCTATATTCTTTGAGGTTACTTCCTAGGATTCTCATACAAACATGCTGTGTATCTACAAGCTACATATTAGAGTCAGCAGTTACAGAAACAATGTCAAAAGAATGGTGGGGTGGGTTACAATTTCCCACAGTTGCAATATTCCATTGTTCCAGTCCCATTGAGCACAATTTCAAAGAGACCCATGAGCTTCCTTGGGATCATAAATGATTGTTTGATAATTCTATAACAAAGAGCAGATTTGGAGAAGGATGTTGGTAGGAATGAAGGAGTGTGTGCTTCCATCCCCTACCATGCTAAACAAATACGTGCTTTTTAAAATTATAAGGAGGGAAGCGTTGACAGGAGTGGAATAAAATATCTTCCTGCATCTCATGTAGCCCTGAATCAGTCTGCACAGAGAGATCTTATCTTGTCTAAGCCAGAAACACCCTGTGTAGTCCCTCTCTAACAAGTTTGGTGCAAGTTTGAATGTAGACCTTGGCACTCAACTGTATTTCCATTGAACTGTATCGCATACTCCATTGCTGGCTCCACGGGTGGCTGCTAGAAATAGCACCAAGAGTATCCAACCCATTCTGTGTCATTCAGGACAGAGCCAGGCTCAAGAGACACCTGACCTTGTTCCTCATCTCTGGAGGAAATCTGGCCACAGCAAACACAAGGAAGCACAACAACAAATGCCAAATAATAACACTATGAAAATTAGTCTTGGACACTGATTCTGGTCCTACTGAACAGGGTTGAGAGAAGCAGAGGGGGCCTAGTGAAAATCAGGCAGCGAGCTTCAATATCAGGCAAGCATCACAACACTTGCTTTCTCCTAGCTGGTTGGTTGTCATAGAAACCTGTGTTTGTAGAGCTTCTGAGTACATTAGTTCAAAGACGATGCTTACGTTATCCTATTCCAATATTGCTGGAGAAGTAGAACAATTCAGTTCTATTAAAGAAATATTTTCTGAGGGCCTACTGTGTGATAAACCTCAGGGGATACATAGGTAGACACCTGGTTCCTTCTTTGAAGCGCCTGACCGGCAGGGGAGTGCTGACAAGGAGACAGCTGTAATGGAATGTGATCAGCACACTAATACAGGTGGGACCACAGAGAGCAGAGCAATCCCTCCTTCCTGGGGACATTAGGGACTGTCAGAGTAGAGGTGGCATTGGAGCAGGGCTTCATGTGAAGGATTAGCAAGAGTCTGCTGGTAGAAAACTGTGGTGGACATGCTAGGGAATAGCTTGAGCAAAGTCACAGAAGCAAGGCAGATTGTAAAGAAGGCTAAGTCTGATAAACAAATCCAGCTTCATGCCATAATGAGTATTGAGAATTACAGTCAAGCATTCTTAACTTGTACTTCATCACTTTCAAATGTGTTCATTATTATCCTCTTAAGCTAGGTTGAAGTTGTCATGGCATTGAATAAAAGGGTTTGCTAAGCAAGAAAATAACAAGAAATTTCTCATGAAGGATGTTTACCTTCTTAAAGTAAAAAGAGCTGTTTCCAAGCACTTTAGGAAAACGTATTCATCAATAGAAAAGGCTTTAGAGCCAGATGAACTGGGTTTGATTGTCATTCTTAATACTTAGTAAGTATATGATTGTGGGTAAGTTACTTGAACATTTTCAAACCCCTGTTTTTTCTGCTTTTGTTTTGTTATATGTACATTGAAGATAATAACATTTCTTTCTAGGATTACTTTAAAAATTAAAAAAATCAATCAGTATATTCCAAGTGCTTATAGTAGTGCCTGGCACAAAGTAGTCATATAACAGGTTTTAAACTTTCAAAAAAGAATGATAATTCGAGTCATTTTATTACCCTGGGTATTTCTTCTATGAAGTCTTGGAGGTTTTTAATAAAAGTCTGATATGCACAATCAATCAACATAATGCCATTTTAGAGCTTGAAGGGAACTGGAAAATGATCCAATTTAATTTGTCGACAGAAGAAACAACTAACTTCCAAGGTGAAATTTCTGGTATCTGGTACATAGCTGGTTAGTGGGGAAGCCTGAGCCGCACCCCAGGAATCCTGACGGAACCCGCTGCTTCTGCTGCAGCAGCACTGCCGACTTCCTCACTGTTGTCCGTCACTAGAGTGAATGTCCCGGCAGGCCAGCCTCAGGAAGGCACGTTAGGGCATGAGTATGTGCCTAATGGTAATATCACTCCTTCCACTCAATTGGTCTAAATGATTGAAGTTTAGCTTTTCATGCAAAACTGAAATAAATAATAAATCGTTCTATATAAATATTAACACAGAATTCATTATGTTCTCTCAAGAGGAGAGTTGCATAATTATGTATAATGCTTGTCTTAGCCTGGTGACATTTGTAGTGTTAAAAATCATCCCCAGAACAGATAAAAATAATTTACTCTAACATCTAAAAGGAAAAAGTTTATATTTGAATTAGCTCAAACTGTGTTTAAGTCCTGTTGACAGTATTCAGACCTCTTCTACCTAGAGGTACCCAAGTAACTGACACCTACAGAGATGGGCAGTGCCTTCCAAGGCCCCCGCTGGGGCAGCAACCCACTCCCTCCAGCTGACAGCACCACGGTCGGTGTGGGGAACTGTGTGAACAACACAGTCCTTTCACCTCTGCCTTCCTATCTCTTGAGCTGTCCTAGGAGAAGCTGCCTCCACTTCTCCAGGATGCTTCCATTTCCTCTGCTTTGCACAGGGTCATATCTCAACGAATTCCACCTCAAGCAAATTTTTCCAGCTGGTATACTCAGATAACTGTTTTTCTGACAATGTATTAATCATTAACACTCTTTGAGCTCTTACCATAGTAGTCAGTACCATCCAATGGGATAATTAAGATGAAAATTAACTAACTAAAAGAACTCAATAAAAGAAATACAGCTATCTCCACTTTCAGATGCAGAAAAAGGCATTAAACAAACTACAGAACTCCTAAGTGGAAGCATCAGGATACTAGCAGAGTGGTGTGACTCCACTCTGCAGATTTACCCAACATGAAAATCCACCAGGTCACAAAGGAAGGGATGCCTGTTCCACATGTAGTCAAAACACAACCTGAATCTTCACAGACTCTCACAATAGCATGTCACTTGCAAATCACATTCAGCTTTGTTGTTTTACAGGCAGGGGAAGAGAGGCACGGGGTGGGGGGGAAGTGACCTGTGTGTGATCTCACTCTTCCCCAGCCTAACCCAACATCCTCCAGGAGTGAAGCCTCTGTGCTTTAGCTCAGGTCCCTGGGGGCTCTGGCTGTGCATTATTTTTCCTTGGATTGAAATGGCATTAAACCAATGAACACATCTTCTTCTGCAAATAGGGGGCTCCCTATAAAGTAGGGGTTGGAGAAGGGAAGCAGGAGCATCGAAAGTGGAACTTGAGTCTTTGCTCAGAATCAGTTTGCCATTTACTGTTTTGAGATCATGTGGATTTACAGTTATGGACTGTCTAACATTTAAATGTTGACTTTCAATTGATAGCAATCAGTGAAGCTGCACAGCCTCGTGGAGGATCACAACAAAGTCCAGGTTACGATCACTGTAAAGGGCAAAGGTAAGATATATGTATTCTGCTGTCTTTAGCATCCTAATATTTCAGGGTGCATTTCATCTCATTTATTGCTATTAGTCCATGAGACACAGGCTTTGCTGATTGAACCCAGGACTGGGGCTAAGGTGAGGCAAACAGGGCTTCTGAGATGAAAAGTTAAGAAGACGAGATCAGGCAAAGGCTGACCTATACCTGTAGGAATCCTGAGAATGAGGACTTTGTTGAATTTTGTACCCTACATACCTCGCATGGCTTATCCTCATCTCAGCCTTGATTAAAACATTGTCACGCAGTGTGTGAGTTACTTCAAATTTCCTCTACCCTCCATATTTCACTCATTTGAATGTTACTGGGTAAGCCTTCTTATGGCTTTTTGATCTCCCTAACTAACTATACCAAACAGACCCTGTATTATACATTTTGATCTGTTATCCAGAATGCAAGCTTGAGTGAGGCTTGTAGATGGCTAGTTGGACACTGGCATTTGTTCTTGCCATAGCCTGGGGGACGGGAGGTGGTCATGGCTCTCTGTGAGCAATGAGGAGCTGTACCCCAAGGCAGCAAACATTTCACATCAGGTTTTATTCAAAGGCCTGAGTGTGCCACAGTGGGTCAGGAACTCAGCCAAAGAGAGTAAGCGGCAGCAGAGGGGCAGTCTTCCGCTGAACAAGGTCCTGGAGTGTCTTCTGAGGGCAGAGCACTGTCCCAGGTACTAGGGTCAAGGTGGGGTCTTATTGCTGAGCTAATCCTTTGCTATGGCCCAGGAATCAATTCCCTGACCCTGGTTTCTGGGAATCAGGTTGAGTGGGGCAGATGAGCACTCAGGGCAGTCATTGCCAACAGGTTGACAAGACTTTTCAGTCACTTTCATTTTAAAGTAAACACAGGAAAAGCTCAGATAGTCATGAAAACTGTGCTGTTGTGTAGGTTTGCGGGAGCTGGAATCCCATCTCTTGGTTCCTGGAGACGTCCTTATTCTCCCAGGAAAGCTTTCGTTGCCTTGTGATGCTGTTCTGATTGAAGGAAGCTGTGTGGTGAATGAAGGCATGCTCACAGGTAGGCAGTTGCCATGGAGCTTCTTCTTTCCTGTCCAAAATCTAGGCCAAGTATTAGCAAAGCAGATCAGTGTACACTTACCTGCTTATACCAGGCCCAGGGTAAGGTATAGAGAGATGGGTGAAGGAGACACAACATATATAAATAGGAAACATGTAACAATGAAAGAATCAAGCCTGATGGGTAGGGCAAATAGGGTGTTTGGGGTTCTGAGGAGAGTGGGACCCCTGCACTAGCTGGTGCACAATCTCTTTATAAGTAAGAGAATGGTTTTTATTTTTATCCAAACAAAACAGCTTAAGCCTACCAACTCTCACAGCTGTCAGAGTGCAGAGTGCATCCAGCCTGCTCTCTGTGGGTGGAAACCTGAGTCCTAGGGGTCCCTGAGAAGGAGACTGGGTTGACACTCTGGGAAAAGTGGTACAACAGTTCTGTTCTCTAGAATGTTGTTTCTGGGTGACCTCACCTAGCAGAGAGCCAGTTTTCTAGTTATGGTTTAAACTGTCCTTGTTCTCATTCCTACTTGTAAAATCCAATGGGATTTGTGTAATTAGTAAGGCACCATTTGCAAAATATTCTTTAGGCAAAATGATGACAACAACAACAACAACAACGACAACAACAACAACAACACAGGACACCCTAATGACAGAAGAGACTATACAGCAACACAGAAATAGAAACTATTTGTCTTTTGTGTTTACAAATTGTTGCATTTTTCTGTTTCCAAATAGCTGAAGACAGGAACACACACACACACACACACACACACACACACTCCTTTTAATATCACCTAAATGTAAAGGCAGTCATTATCTACCCCTAAATTGTTCAACACAAGCAGATTTCACATTAAAAATGGGTCTGCTTAATTTAAAATTGAGACAAGAAAATGTGGTAAACATAAATATGTTCAGTGTAATTGCAAAATACCCCTTTAATGTGCTGAAATCTAACTTTCTTATAATGACAGTGATGAGGATCTGCATACTAATCATATCCTTCATCCAGAGTGTTGCCATAGCACCCAGTGTGCAAACCTCCAGCCTGAGAAGAACTGTCCTCCTCACTTGAAGGCAATGACTGTCTCATGTTTCCCAGAAGCCTGACAGTGAAGAGGCTGCTCTCATTGGGGCAGAGGGTACGGTTTGAGAAAACAGGCAGGACTGGAAGCAGTATTTGCTCACCTGAGTCTGACTCAGGTGCATAGTTCTTGCCTTGATTCTGGGGAAAACTCAGAGAGTTCCAGAGAAGTAGAAATGGTAAACAAGACTCTTTTTCAACAAATGTGCAAAATTGACCTAAAATGAACTTAAAGCATAAATGGCCTTTTCTAGGGGTGTTCCTGGAAAAATAAAGTCACCAGAATTAATGTCTATGTCACCTAAGTACTGATAAAAGTCAATTTCAGAGACAGACACACAAAACAGAAATATTTCTTTCTTATTCATTTCTTGAGATCTAAGTACCACCAGGCTCTGAATACTTGATTTCACAGCCTACGTAGATCCTTCCGCTCATGCACACGTTTGTGAAAAGGACCCTAACTGAAAAAACAGATGAGGGTTTGATTCCTAAAACTGAAAACATATTCTTAGAGCATTAGCCTACAAATGTGACTCAGGTATTTTTCCTCCATATGCATAATAGACCTTTACATATAGAGAAGCCTTTAATTATGTAAGAACTAGAACGGCAAATACTCCTAGTATCTATGTAGCAGTTTACATGTTACAAATAACTTTTATATCTCAATTGTAGCAGAAGACAAATTACAGTAGGAGCTATTATAATACTCAATTTACAGATGAGGGAATTAAAATGAAAAGGGGCCAGGGCTGCTCAGCTAGCAAGTGAGAGAATTAGAACAAGAGGTGACATTTGGGACCACAGGAGTGAAGAGCATGGTTCTAAGGGGAGTGACACAGTGCTGTCATGTTTTGTGCCTCATCTCCTTTTTCTTGCCACTGGGTATTCCTATTCATAGCATGTACTTGTCGCACAGTCTTCCTCCTCCTCATCTCCTTAGCCTCGTTCTATTGCATAGTCTATTGCTCGACTATGCAAGAAGCTCCACTTTTTCTTATGACTACATTTCATTTTTATGTTGGCTCCAAGTATCACCACCCTTGGAAGCATGCAGTGTGAAGTGGCTGGTATAAGTCGGACAGCTATCCCCGCCGATGTGCAGGTCCTCCAGGTCTGGCCTGGCTGCCTGATGTGTGCAAGGCATACGGAGGGGGTTCTGGAGAAGGGCAGCCCTTCTTTCTGGTGCCCCACTTCACTCTGCCCTTGGGCAATGAAGCAGGCCTTTGTACCTGGAGAAGGAGGCAGAACCAGGTGCCTTTGGCTCTCAGCTTCCCCAAACTTCCCGATTGTTTCTACATCCTACTTTGGTGCAGGCCCCTTGTCTCAAGGACACACAATATTTGAGTTTCCTTTGGTTCCTTTCAACTACTGACCCAGGGATTTCTAGTTAGCTATAAAAGTAGTAGAAGAAGGGTGTGGTGAATGGGATGGCTTTGTTTTTACTCTCAAGAAGTCTCTAAAATTCATGATTAAACTTATGAATAACTTTTGAAACCCAAAAGCTAGTTTTCAGCTCCTCTGTCTTTTTTAAATTCCTCCTAAGGCACTGATCTCTTTCAAGATCTAGCTCCTCACAAGTTGATCAATTGGCAAAAAGGAATAGCATAGGGGAAATTCTATTATTATTTTGAAGTTTTCTCTTGGCACAATAGCTAAGTATACTTAGTTCTTATATGTATTAGACACTGTGTGTATATATATATATATATACACACATATATATTATATATAATATATATACAATATATTATATATATATATAATTTCTTTCAATCCACAAGCCTATAAAGGTATGAGAACATAAAGCCCAGAGAGGGTAAGTAATTTACCTAAGGTCACACAGCTTAAAAGTAGTCAAGCTGAGATTTGAATCTATTTGTTTTTTCATTCATTCATTCATTCATTCATTCATTCATTCGTTTATTCATTCCACACATGTTTTGTTAGTCCTTACTTTGGAGCAGACACTCTACTGGATGAACAAGGCAGATAAGATTTCTGTTCCCATGAAGCTGACATTATAGTGGGGATACAGAAGATATGAAAATAAGTCAATGACATAAGCTTCCAACAGTTTTAAGTTCTATCAAAAAAATAAAACACTTGAACCAGGGCATGTTAACCTCAGAACCTATTCTTATGATTACTGGCTCCTCATTCTCTCAGGGACAATTGTGGGTGAGGGGGGTAGTAGTCCCTCTGCCACCATCTCCTTCCTTCTCCCTCTTCGTTGTAGAATTACTGATTTATTTGGAATGTGCTTGTGGAAAGTATGCCTCAAGTTGGAACCTAGGAATTTCCCTAGGCAGTTAGTTCACATTTATACCCTGTCAAATAAGCTCATAATCAGTTGATAGGTCAGGTCTTCTCTCTTCTTTCTTCCTTTTCTCCTCTCATCCTTTTTTCCTTTTCTTTTTAAAATGTCTTTAGTAGTTTATTTTTATTGTATTTTTTCCATTACTGATTATCCCTCTATACCCTCTTCCACCTCCCCATCCTGCCTGCCCCTCTACAGTTACCGCACTGTTGTCCATGGCCATGAGTTCTTTTCCTTCCTTTTCTTTCATTCACTCTTTTGCTTATCCATTAACTCTACAAAGGTTCGGCAATGCCTACTATGTGTTGGGCACTGTGTTGTGTGCTGAAGTCAGCAAGACAAATGAGGAATAGTCCTTGACCTCAAACAGTTTATAGCCTAACAGTCCCAGAAATATAAATAAACAAGGACATGGCGTTTCAAACGCTGTCATTATGCAGAGGCATGTGGCTCACTGGGGACAAAGGAGAGAATCTCCCTTTCACAGTAGACAGGACCTCCAGGTCCTGAAAGCAAACTGAAGAGTTGATGGTGAGTATAACTTCCTTTTGAAATCCTCTCTAGCCTACTTATACTTCCAAACTTTTGTAGAAGAGTCCATTCTTTCTTGGGATCCCAAGAAAGTCCAAGCATGAAACTCCTTATTAATATGTGAATAGGGTAAAAGAGACTTAAAATTCATCAGTACTCTGCAACACTGTCTCCAGTGACTTCCATCTCTGGTGATTGAATAGCTGCTTGTTTCTAATACTGTTGGTTGTGTGTGCAGAAACTATTCATTAGTACTAGTTTAATTATAAATCATGGATTAATATTCTCTCATAAAGGCAGAACAACATTTGCAATTATCTATAAGTATCTGCCTTTACAAAGGCTGATTTAAAAGCAATGTGGCATAGTAATTTGGAGATTTGCCAAGAGATTCTATCCCTTTTACAAAGCCATTTAGAATTCAATTGATAAACCTACAAGATAGATGAATACCATACTTGTTCTGATGAAAATGACAAGAATAGTGCTTAGATAAAGGAATTTTCTGAAGAATATTCAGGATCAATAATAAAAATTTTATAGCTTCTTGTACCTTAGGATGTAAAAAATGTACCATGGTAGAAAACTAGTTTTTGAATAACCAATCATAAAAAAACCTGGGTAATTTTTTTCTAATCCAGCACTCAGCAAAAATAGGTATTTTGAACCTATTACACACCAGTAATGAGAATGAGGAATATAAAAAGTTATACATGTTAAAACCCCTGCCCTCAGTTATTACCTAGAGGGAGTGATAGAACCTAAAGTTGCATGACTAGAATCAATATAATAGTACTTTCAAATTAGACGTAGGACATGCTTTCTTGCTAATTAAACATTTAGCACAAGACTGGTGGAATTTAAATTCATTCTTGTGCTTTTTAAATCTGGGAGCCAGGAAGCATTATTAACATTTTTATTTTGTGCCCCGAATGTATCTTTTTTGACCCCTGAGCTAATTGTCCTTGTACATTGAATAGCCTTCCTTCCAGCCTTCAGAGAAAGGAGAGGAATGGCACTGGCAAAGCCTAGGAGTCAGTAAAGATAGGATGTGCGAGTGGCCTTGGGTAGCTGGAGTTCGGTTGGAAATAGCAGCCAGTAATGCTCAGATGTGGTGGCTTTGACAATCTAGCAAGGGAGTTGAAGTTTATTAGTGATGGCAATGGAAAAGCCTATGGAGTTTTGAGAAAAAAATAAAATGATAAAAGGGGTCTTTGATAGCCTTCATCTAGAAGTAGTGTGGGATGAGCAAAGGGAAGGGGCTGGAGTGGAGAGACCAGAGCAAAGGTCTGACATAATAGGAAAAAGTCCCTCTTTATATGTATAGAGATATAAATCTCTCTATATATATTGTATATATTTATATATTTCATATAAATATTTATATAAATTCATACATTATATACATTTATAATGTATTACATATAAATCATAAGTATATGATTCACATAATTTATAAAGCATTATATAATCTATAACTTTATAAAATGTATAAATCATAATTATATTATAATTAAATTATATCACACATTAATCTAAAACAGCAATATGATTTATTATATTATACAATATTAACATTAATAATTATTGTGATATTATGCAATATATAATATCATATAATATATGATATCATGTAATTTAATATAACTTTATAAATTTATAATTTATAAGGTTATAATTTATAATTTATAACTTTATAAAATTATAAATTATAATTAATTATAATTAAGTTATAGCATTCACTGATCTAAAATAAATAATATGATTTATTATATTATATGATCATATAGTATAATAAATTATATTGTTTATTTTTATAGCAATATAATATAATTTCATTATAATGTAATTATAATTTATAATTTTATGAAGCTATGAATTATATTATATATTAATTATATTATATTATATTAATTATATGATAATTAAATTATAATTAATATATTTTAATATATACTATATAATTTAAACACATTTACCTACATATATCCCTGGTTCCTGGCACAAAGCTCCTGAAATCTTTATGATAATTTTCTAAGTGATAAGGTAATAGAAGCATCTTTTGTTCTCATAAGGTGACTGGGTGGGCTCTGGGGTGGAAGCTGGTCACCAGAAAGACCAAGCTATGGTTAGAAGCTTGGGCTTTTCAGCCATCTGCCCCACATTTCTGCCAGAAAATGGACAGGGGATGGAAACAGAGCTGATCATTGATCATGCCTGTATGAGGAAACCTCCACAAAATCCTAATGATACAGGTGCAGAGAGCTTCCAGGTTGGTGAACACCTCCCTTGTAGGAGGGCGATGCACCCCAACTCCTACACAAGGGACTGTGTCAGACCTCACCCTATATATCTCTTCATCTGGCTGTTCATTTGTATCCTTTATCACATTCTTTAATAAGCTGGTAAGTGTAAGTGTTTGCCTCAGTGCTGTGAGCCACTCAGCAAAATAATCAAACCCCCAAAGAGGGTGTAGTGGGAACCTCAGATATATTGATCAGAAGCACAGGTGAAAACATAGATTTGCAGTTGGCATCTGAAGTGAGTTGGGAGCAGTCTTGTGGGACTGAGCTCCTAACCTGTGGGATCTGGTGCTATCTTTAAGTAGATAGTGTCAGAATTGAATTGAATTGAGTTAAATTGTAGGACAACCAGCTCATGTCAAAGAATTGCTTGTTGTGGAGTCAGAAGTGTTGTGAGTATGGTACTAGCATGAGAGTGAACAAGAAATACAGAAGGAAGGACTGGGGGCTTTTTTTTTTAACTCAGGAAGCCAAGGCAGATTGTGATTGAGAACTTATTAATAAAAAATATCAATTAGACCCACTGTAACCTCAGATCATCTAGAGAATGTGTTTGCAGTTCAAAGAGCCACACAAATCACAGTTGATCCATTGTTAATGCAACTACTGTGAGTCAGACAGCAATCACCAGTGAAGTCATTCTAACCTAGATGCAAGTGTTCAGGAAGGACCCAGTGAGGCACACTCACAGGGAAAAGCAGCAGGGCATGGAGAATGATTTCCTGAGAGAGTAGAGCAAAGCATGGGAAGAGAAGGAAGTAAAGATGATTTGGGGATTGTAAAACTGTGACTTAGAAAAAATGGTACCATAAAGAAATAGGAAAGCCAAGTGGAAGTTTAAGGGTAAAGATATTGATATGGACTTTGGATTGTTGAGTTGAGAAGCGAGCAGGATGTCCAGGCTGGGAGGAACAGCCCACAGTTGGGATATACAAAACAAGAGCCCAGGAGAGAGGAAATATGAAGATAGATATTACCAACGTATCTACATAGTTAAGTGCTAGTTCATGAGTTTAGAGCTGAGAAGGCATTCAGAAGGAGAAAAGAGAAACTCCTAGCTTGTTATATTGGTTTCTATCTTTCACTTCCAGCTCCAAAAAGACCATGAAGAGTATTTTACAGATTTTATGAAGGTATCATTTCTCACTCATCTGTGTACTCCTGAGCTGCTTCCCTCTACCCTCACAATCAGTGTTCTAAACAACCTCAACTGTCTAGTGCCCAGGGCACACCATACTCTTTCTCTCACTTCATCCAAGCACACTTTTCTCTCCTTGCTCTCCTTGATCTGGCTGGACTCACTCTCCTTTGACATTGTCATTTCTTAATCATCCAGGTAATCTCTCACCTCAGTTTAGGTGCAATCTTCAGACCACCTGGTACTACCATCAAAATATTCACCTTATTGTGTTTGCATATTTAGTGCTGTTTACTTGCCTGACTCCCTGAGCTTTATGAGGGCAGGATTCTATCTGTCTTGTTCATTATTATATTCTCAGCACTTACAACAGTGCCTGGCACAAAGTAAGCACTTAAAAATAGTTGTTGAATGAATGAATGAATGAATGGACAGATAAAAAGGTGAATGAAAGGCAAACAATAATAATTATACACAGGCTTCATTGCTCTTTTATTGCCTAGAATAGTGTTGGGCTTAATTTTAGAGCACTTGTGGGAATGATTATAAAAACTCTTTTCACTAAAATGGGCTGTTTTTAAAAATTATAACAGCAAACCATATAGACCAGGTGTGGAAAAGATAGGCAGGTCTTAAATAAATAGTTGAAATATAATCAAGTGCACCATGCTTTGCATCACCAGCATCCCTAAGAATAGTCATCTGCCTCAAGGAATGGTCATTCAGATGGGATTAGCTGTGGTTTGTATACTTTCCTGAAACTAGCAAGTACCAGCTCTAGGTAACTAACTACAGTCCACACAGAATCAGAAAATATAATCTTCTCTAGGAGAGAGTATACCTGTTACAAAGACACCGTTGCCCGCTATGGAGAATACGATGCCCTGGAAAGCCCACAGCTTGGAGGACTATCGGAAGCATGTCCTTTTCTGTGGAACAGAAGTGGTCCAGGTCAAGCCCTCTGCACAGGGGCCAGTAAGAGCAGTCGTTTTGCAAACAGGTTAGTCAACTCCACTTTTGCAATTTTAGTCAATGCTTGAAGATGAGGGAGTTGGATTTGGGGAAATCCAAGGATTATGGACTTTGCTACATTCTGGTAATAACAGCCACACTCATTTCCAATCAGGCCTTTATTATTCTAAGTTGCCACAATTTTGCTACCATTTTTAACTGAATAATTCATTATTAAAACCCTTGTAGAAGATGAAGCAAATACAGGGATAAAGTACATTTCCTCAAAGCCAAAACCATGTTTTTGTTTTTTCTTGTGTCCTTAGGCATCCTCTCTTTTCTATATCCACTCTAAGTGATTACCCAGAAGACAGTTTCAACCACTAGCACTTGAGGACATTTTCCTTTTGATGAGTTGCTTGCTGGGCTGTAATGTCAAGGTCCCTGCTGGACATCTCCGCCTGGGTGTCCCACAGACACTTCAAAGGCAAGGTGTCTAGATGTGAACACATCCTCCTCTATCACTTCTTTCTGTTAACAATAGCACCATCTGGCTAACATCATGTCATCTTTACTCCCCACTTGGTTCCATACCAAACAGGGCACATCCCATCCATTCTAAGAATATCTCCTGAGTCCTGTTTCCCTCTCCTTCTCCTTCACCCCAACTTTCTCCAAGCCTTCATCATGCCTGTCTAAACTATTACAACAGAAACATTCTTTTGACTGTTCATTTTCAATTTTCACCTCAAATACCTTTCTTATATTTTGTCCAACCTTTCTCTAACCTATTTCTCCTCAATCTGTCACCAAGCCACATGTATAAAACATGACTTGAAGCAGTCTATGAACATCACATTCAAAAACTTTTCAGGAGTATTAGAATCAGTCGCCATCTTTCACATGACATCACCCAGCCAACACCTTGCATGCTCTGTCCCAGTTCTGGCATTCACCCCTGACCTGTGTTTCTGCCACCCAACATATTCACAGATCTAAAATGCACCTCACACTTTGATATCTCTCTGCTTTTTTTAGGTTATGATTCAATCGTTCTACCTAATTTTTTTAAATTAAAAAAAGTTAAGTTTTATTTAAAGTAGTCAGCGGGCAAGAGAGCGAGCATCTCTCAGCCTGTTGATAAGCAGAAGCAAATGGGTAGAGATCATGGAAACTGCAGGATCTGAGCTCATGATGCTCAGGTAACAAATTAAAGAAAACTCTGATTCTTTTCTCCAAAGCCTACAAAGCCATTTTTCAGGAGATAAGATGCTCATCAAGTAGTGGCATTAAGGCATGTTTTATACTGATACTGACTCATATCTAGAATATATGGCAGTCAACTTTAAATATTAATGAGTACCTATTAAGTATTATGCACTGAGGTCCAAAGAAAAAAAAATCATGAGGGACTCACTCCTTGCCCTTAAAGGAGATTTATGGCATGGGGTAGGGGACAGATGGATTTACAGCTGACTAAAACACAGAGCAGTGATAGATGTCATATGACCAAGTGTTAGAGGGACTCCAAAAAGTGTAGAGATTAATTTTGATATGACGTACAAAAGAAGAACTCTGGAAACATTAATCAATGAAGTAGCATTTTGAGCCAAGCCTGATAGGATAGGAATGGTTTAGCTAATCATATCAGAGAGCTGGAAGAGACATGTTAATTTGTGTCTGCAAAACACAAAGGAAGGAAAGCACAGGGGTTTTCCAGGACCAGTGAAAGGTTAGGAGATAAGTCTTGCAAGGAAGGGATAGACCAGATTTAAGGGAGCCTCAAATGTCATGCCTAGAAATGTGAACTTTATTATAAAAATGGGGGTTCAAGTAGGTTTTTGAGCATAAAAAATGACATGATCAGAGGTATATATATTTAAGAAATTAGTTGCCTTGTGTTTTTTTTCTCTTAATTTTCTATTATTATCAATACACATTTGCACTTCAAAGTCTTCTTTTCTCGGCAGCTCATCTACTCTGGCCACTGCATTCATCAGCTCCTTATTTTCCTTTCCCCCAAGCCCACACGTGAGTGGGTGTTGCAGTGCAAGCCACGGAAGCCATGACTCCAGGAGCAAGAGAAACTGAGCAGGGCTGAGAGAGTGCTATTGACTGTTCTCAGTGAATTGTGAGAAGAATGAATAGAAATACACCGTTAGGTCATAGCAGTGCTGTTTTTATTCCATGTTCAAATGACTCTCAACCAGTCCTTAATTCAGTGTAAACTAGTCTTGGTTTGGGAGAAACTGTATAAAAGGGTCTTACTCTGCCTGTGATTATCTATCTTCATGCAGGTTACAATACAGCCAAAGGGGACTTGGTGAGATCCATCCTTTATCCCCGGCCTCTGAACTTCAAACTATACAGTGATGCCTTCAAGTTCATAGTATTCCTGGCTTGCCTTGGAGTTGCGGGTTTTTTCTATGCCCTTGGTGTGTATATGTACCATGGAGTAAGTATCAGGGGTAAGGCTTTATAGTATCATAGTTTTGTCAAGGAGTTTGACCTAACTCAAAATGATTAGTTAGATAAGGTTACCCCTGACCCCCATGATTCTGAGAATTTCAGCTGTCCAGTAGAGCCTCCTAAGATGATGGAAATCCTCTGTACAGTATGGACACCACCCACTTTGGAATCCCTTAACCATGTGCGCCTACTGAGCACCTAAAGTGTGGCTAGTGTAAGTAAGGAAATGAATTTCAATGTTCTTTCATTTTCATTAATTATTTAAATCAATTAATCAACTTAACTCAATTGTTTAAATTTAAATAGCCATATGTGGTTAGTAAAAATTATATTGGATGGTACAACTATAAAACGTTGCAAAATTCACAGCTCCTGTCACCACTTGGATGGGGCTGAGAGGTGACTGCATGTGTGGCAAGGTGATACCCGAGCCCGAGTAGCCTCAGAGTAAATATGTTTCCTCAGCCTGATGGGATGGGGAGGATCTAGTTAATCTGATCAGAGAGCAGGAAGGACATACTAATTTGTATGAGCAAACACAAAGGAAGAATTGTACAGGGGTCTTCTGGAACCAGCAAGCAATTAAGAGACGAAGTCTAGTGAGATAGAAAGAGATTCAATTGAAGGAGATCTTGAATGTCATGTTTAGAAATGAGAACTATTAGCTAGTGGTGACATATTTGAGTGTGCACATTGTCCAGGGCATACCCAACGTACCACGTAGTCAAAAAATTGTGCCCTGTGTTTTGTTAGGTTCAGAAATGAAATTTAATGTCTACTTTTAAGGAGATGCATGCTGCATGGATGTCAACTACCTTTTAGGCTTCAGGGTGTCTGTTTCATTTGGATGTCTCTCTCTCTTTTTTTTTTTTAAAGATTTTATTTGTTTATTTTTAGAGAGGGAAGGGAGGGAGAAAGAGAGAGAGAGAGAGAAACATCAATGTGCGGTTGCTGGGGGCCGTGGCCTGCAACCCAGGCATGTGCCCCGACTGGGAATCGAACCTGCGACACTTTGGTTCGAAGCCTGCACTCAATCCACTGAGCTATACCAGCCAGGGCTGGATGTCTCTCTCTTGATAGTTGTGTTGGTGGGAGAGGGAAAGGTTGTCACAAATAACCTCTGAGATCCTTCCTGGCTCTGAGAGTCTGGTTCTGTTATGGGCCATGCAGTCTCTTCTGTGAAATATGCTGGGAGCTCAGCAGTGTGGGCTCATAGGGAAGAAGAAAACAATGTGAACAAAAGGTTTCAAACAAAGGCATAAACCTGGCAGTGGGTGACCTAATTACAGTGCCCCAACTGGAAGCATCAAGTCCATTCCGCATGCGTGTCGGAGGGGAGCAGGTGAATATTGGTGGGAAAAGACACAGTCACAAGAATTCTAGGCAATGTTCATGCTCTCACTGGAGCTCTGAGTAGTCACTTCAATCTGAAGTCTGCCCCTTGGGAGCACATCTAGAGGAGGCCAGAACAAACTGGCACCGTAGAATGGACTCTGAAAAAACGAGGCAGACTGGCAGGTTCAGTGGGGCTGGACTTTGAGGTGTTGTGCTGGGTCATCTGGGAGCAGAAGTGTTGAGCAGGAAAACAAGCAAAAAGCCTTGTTTCCTGTGGACCAGGGGGTGCTGGAAGTGATTGGGAAGGAAGCATTTGTGGGTAGGACTCGGTGTCCATTGAGGACCAAAGCAACAAAGCTAATCACAGAGCCCATCTTCTTGTGGGTCAAAACCTGTGGAGCTGTTGGCTACCTCTATCTGCACTGGCTCAGGTTTAGACAGGGCTGAGTCCTCAGGGTCAAACCTCCTCTGTGGCTGTGGGTGGGGAAAGCAGAGTATGATGGACTTTGTAATAAACTGAGATTGGGCCAAAGATGTATCTAGCAAGCATTGCTATTGAACTTGAACCTGTGATTCCAGTACTCAAAAGAGGACTTTATGGCCAAAATTATGCTTAATTTCATAAAAACCCAGGCAAGGTTGGAGAGGATAGAGCCATTAACATCTAGAGCATGTGAAAAATAAAACAAGCCACCCTGTGATTTGATCTTGGCTCTGCCCTTATTGGTCCTGTGAACTTCTTCAGACTTACCTGAAATCTTGATTCTGTGAGCACTGGCTTCATAATACAACACTCTGGCTATGCGTTTGTGCCCGGGAGTCAGACAGCCTTAGGGTCAGCTCCTCACCCCTTAACTAGCATGTGGCCTGGGGGAAGTCTTAAATAATTTAAGCCTTGATTTCCTCACTTGTTAAGTGCTTAAGAAAAAACAATGATATTTCCATGGTAAGGTTGTGGAGAAACTAAGTAATGCACGTAGCCGAACACATAGCCTGTCCCAGAGAGTGTGTCCAGTGAGCACAGCTCTTTTTACTGATGGCTCCCCACCCAGCACATAATATTCACTGAGATCTTGTCAGAGTCTTGGTCACAGCGTTTATTAAGCTGCCATTCATTCAATGTGTGTGCCAAACACCTCCTCTGTGTCAGAACCTGTGCTGAGCTCTCTGGAGATGGATAAGATAAATTCAAGAATGAATAAGCTACACAGCTGCTGTGCCCAAGGAGTTTGTAGGCTAGAGGGGGAGAGAGATTTATAATCCAACAGCCAAGCCACTGTGTGAAATGTTACAACTCAAGACTAGTCCCTGCCCCTGGGAGTCCAGAGGGCATGCAGACAGGCAGAGAAGGGATGGCACTCTGAGTGGAAGGAATGCTAAGTGGAGAAAAACTGAGTCAGAAAAGGACATGGAGGCTCTGGAGTAAGGATCTGAGTCTCCTTTGTTTCATAGCGGGAGACAGTTTGTTCATTCGTTAGGCACAGCCAAGAGAACACTCAGTCCCACCAAGAGAGCCGACTCACTAGGAATATTCTTTAGTTTCCAGAGCTCCTGTGGTATTGCAGGAGATGGTGCCAGGAAGAGGGCAGCCTTCCCTGCTAGGCTAACCTTTACGTCTCTCCCCTCCCCAGGTCTCTCCAAGAGATACTGCAACCATGTCCCTGCTCCTCCTCACCGTGACGGTCCCACCGGCGCTGCCAGCTGCCCTGACCACAGGCATCGTGTATGCACAAAAGAGGCTGATGAGAAAGAAAATCTTCTGTATCTCCCCACAGAGAATCAATATGTGTGGGCAGATAAACCTCGTGTGCTTTGACAAAGTATGATCTACTTTCCAGGTGGGAGGTTGATGGTTTTAAGGCACAGCAGAGCGGGGAAGGGCCTCCGAGCGTGTCTGTCTAGTCTGGCACTCTCATTTTACAGACGCGGACGCCGAGGCCCGAGAAGGCCACACAGTGAGTGGGTGTGAGGTCATGTTCTAGAAGCCTGGTCGACTGAGCCCTGAGGCAGTGGGGCCAGCCATCCCATCGTGAATTTCTTTCCTGAGAAATTTGATATTTTTTCCTGTTTTGGGTTTCAAAACAATCTCTTACTGTGATATCTTGTAGAACTCCCTGGCTTTTTCAGACAAAAAATAATATAAGGAACCCTTTGGTTCCCTAAAATGCCTTGTCCTGAGCTTAAGTGATCATGTTCCTCTCTCCTTGTCTACTTCTTCTAAAGAAAAGGAGAGAGTGGACATGACTGTGGCTATGCGCTCTGGCCTATCTTTTCTCATTTGCTGCTTGGGCTATCAGGACTCAGGATTAGGGAAGGTTGTCTCTGTGCGTAAGGCCTTGGAAAGGTGGCAGAAGGGGAGTAGGTTCATATGGGACAAACTCCTGCTGACAGGTCCTGAGACGACTTCTTTCTCCTATAGGAGACCTGGTGGGACTTCAGTGTTACCTGCCTGCTTGCTGTTCAGTCCTGCCCTCAGCTCAGGCAGGCCAGTTTCACTGCTATAATGCAATGGGCCTGGCTTGTTCTCTCCACCTCTTGAGTTCATTTGTATTTAAATAATCAATGAAAACTTTGCCACTTTTTAATTAACCCACATTGGCAGAGAGCACCATTAATGAAATGTTCCTGGCTATTGAGAAGTTCAGGATCTAGCTGAGGAAGCAGGTAAATGGAAATGCAGATAATGATAATGCAGTGACATGCATGTTTTATACAGGTATGAGGCACACTTACCTGCCACAGGCGGGAGATCACCTCTGAACTTGGCTTTGCTCAGAGCCGAGCAGCTCAGAAGCATAGATATGTGAAGGCCTGCATGGGGTGGGGGGTGAGGTTCACTGGGGCGAGGCTGTGGTGTGGGCTGTTTGCAGGCAATGCAGCTGGAGAGGGGGAGCCCAGCGGCTCAGGGCCTGATGTGAGAAGCTAAGGAGTGGGGGACAGCGACGTTTTATAGATGTGTTTTAGTTATCCCCACAGGGGGAATTGGTGAGAAGGGATAGAAGGGAGATAGCATTGAAGCAGGAGGCTGTCTGGGGGCAACCGAAGAGCTCGCTCATTATCCTAGACAGTGGGGGCAAGGCGGACGAGTAGAGGACAAGCCAGAAGGGACACCATGAGCAGGCTTGACAAGTCTTCATCCCCAAATGGAATTGGCAGAAATCTTAGATTATTTTAGTTCTGTTCTTTTTGAATTTCCTTTGGCAAAGAAAGTCCTCTATTGCCACCAGTGAGGAACCAGTAGAATTAATTTAACAGCTGCTTCCTTTTAGATTCAGGGCCAGGTAACAGCCCTTTGGATATTCTGATAGGGATTCCCATTACTTACCCAGCAGCCACACTTGTGTCTAGAATATAAGAGAGAGATTTGTAAAATATGTTCATTACACACTTGGCTATTTCTAGAGCTAATTTTCCATAGGGTGTTTGCCTTAGTTCCCATGTAGAGCTTTTCCTCCTCCTCATCCTCATGTGCTCCTTTGCTAGTCTGTTAGGGACCACTCCTCAGCATGCTTGGCTACACTCTGCTGGCAGGATGCCCTGTTACAGTGCAAAGAACTCTTGATTGGGAACTGGCAAAATGGGAAAAGTAATCCTGAATAATGCTAAGTTTCTGCATGACTTTGACGATAAGAAGATTGAACTACAATTATCTCTAAGTTTCTTCCTGGCTTTCACATTTTAAGCTCTACCAGAGTGATGTTGGAATAAAGCACTCTACAATTAATTGAATTTCCGTCCAGTGCTGTTTCACTTTAGAAGATATTTACCACTGGGCCTCTGAGCACATTTGTTCCCATGTGTAGCTCTAGTTGACGTTGGTTTGTGGTAAGTTTTTCTAAAACAAGTTCTCTATTTTCTATTCAATTCAGTGAAGCCTGTGCTAGTATTTATGCTACGTTTATTTTACTCTCTTCAGAACCTCAAATATAGTTTAGTTTTCTTTCTATTTTATGGACAGTTTTACTGGTTAATGGTCGTTTTCATGCAGACAAGCAACACGGCCCCTTTTCTGTTTGCTGCCGTATCATGTCTGTTTTCATGTTCCAAATATTGATATTTAAATTGATGACATAATGTCATCACCAGGAAAACATCTCCATTTAGATTAAGTTGCTAAGTCTTTTTGGAGTGGAACAACGCAAGGGGATTTGGGAACATAAGAGTTGGGACCCTTATAAAATACAGGAGGGAAATGAAGCAAATTGTTTTTCTTGTTGTTCTTCAAGGAGTAACTCACACAAATATGTTAGTTTCCTATTAAGTCCAATTGAATTAATAAAACAAAGCTTCCCTAATTCTTTAATCTGGGAATCAGATGGGCTTTATCCTTCCACGTGCTTTGCCAAATTCACTCGACATTTGTCGTCCAGTAGAAGACCACACACAGCTGGATTCCGGTTCTTGCTCTCCGACTCACAGGCCACTGTGCTCTGAGGCTGCTCCACTCGCCTGTAGCCTGGAGACTGTCTCTGCCCTGCTCACTCAGCTGTGAGAGTTGAAAGCACCGTGAGCACTTCACTGTAAAACCCTGTGCTGATGTGATGTGCAGTAGTGACAGAAGGTGTGAGTTAATAAAAAAACTACAAAATCCAGCATCCTACATAGAGGTGACCTTTAAAAAGTTCTGTCAGAGAGCTGGGTGTCAGTGTTGAAACAGGGTGTTCCCAGACACTTGCTCGTGCTTGGCTCTGCCCTGACAGTTGGCTACTGTCGACACCGCAACAGCCAACTCCTTCCCCTGGCTGGGTGTTAAGCAGGCCTACAGCTGCTAGCCTACCTGGTACAGATGTTGGGCTCTGTAATTAATGATCAATTGTGAAGCAATGAGCAAATTAAAAGTGCTCTGGTGTATTCAGTTCTATTTTGAATTTTCTGCTACATCTTCTGATAAATACTCTTTCATAATACAGCACATCAAATCTTGCCCCTATTTTCTTCTTGATCAAACTCATTCATGGACTTAATTAATGTTTGTTTAGCACTTTGTTGCTCTTTTTAGTCTCAAAGCCCTTTAGCAACATTTTATTATCTGGGAAGTCACCATGTCACCAACATTTCAGCAAATTGTGTGAACCAGATGGAAGACTGTGAACTAAATAGTCTTAAAAGACAAAAAAAAAATTCTGAGCTCTGCTTCAGAAAGATGGCAAGTGCTGACTGAGAGTCAAAGCTGGTTCCTATTAGATGTGCCCTCACCAAACCTCTCTCATTGAACGAGTCCAAACATTCGCGCACCAAACAAATCACTTCCACTGTGTTGCAATGGCTAGGAATTGGTATCTAATTATCAACATGGTCTTTTGGGAATCATTTGTCACCTGTTGAACCTGTTTTCTCAGGTGCCCTTCTCTGATCTAACATTTGATGCTTATGAAGAGAAGGGCTTTGGGCAACCAGATCTACTTTAATTTCTTGGGAGCTTGTTTTTTATTAAGTCATGATATAATTAAAAGCTCTAAATCTTACGCTAATACCAATTCTAATTTTTCCCCCAGACTGGCACACTCACCGAAGATGGGCTGGACCTCTGGGGGACTGTCCCTACTGCAGGCAACCGGTAGGCACCCTAACAAAGAAGGAATGTGTGACTGGGGCGGCTGCCAGTCTGGGGCTGCCTCGGGACTACTCAAACCTGTCCTTCTGGAGTTGAGGGATAAATGTTACATAAAATATGTATAATAATTGGCTGGAACCAGCTCTCAATTATTTTAATTTTTTAAATTAAATGAGTTCTAATTTCGGAATCAGACAGGAAAAGTAGCCCTTCAATCTCTACATGAACAATGGAACAGAATAAGTTGGATGATTGAGTTGCTGGATGAATAAAAGAGAGAAGCAAGAAGTGAAACCAGGACTGTGTTTAATCAAAAACTGCTAAGACTCCCTAGGTAGCTAGTGTGGTGGGGAATCCAGAAAAGAAGAGCTCTATCCCTTCCCTCAGAGTTCCCACTTAAATGGGATAAAAGGTACAAATGCACTCGCCCTCAGTATGCAGCACAGGCTGTGAAAAGGGTGGCCATTAAGGCTCAAAATCAGAATAGAGAAGAAGTAATAACAATTGCTTGATATAATACATAATCCTGGTTTTTATAACAAAGTGGATAAAAGATAGAAATTAATTTTGAAAATGAATAGATCAAGAAAATGAAGGAGACAGCATTTAAGAGAGGTTTTGAAGGGTGTGTGGCTAGAATCTTTACAGGCATGGGCTAAAAGCAAGAGGGAAATCACAGAGACGCTACCCCAGAACAGAGCTAGAGGGTCAAAGGAGTGTCCCCCCAGCCCCCAGGGAGTGCCCCAGAGCTTCTTGATCCTCTCCTGCCAGGCTAAGACCTGCCTTCTTAGTCTGAGTGGAGAGGCCTCTGCTCCAAAGCTTTGGCTCCCAACAGTGGCTGCGGCTGCTGTCATTGAAGACAAGTCACAGTGGGGCCCCTCAAGACGGTGACAGGGCCAGATATAATACTGACACACGGTAGCAACAGGCAGGCAGTACCATGTTGCAGCAGATCCTTGGTCTGGACCTCAGTGTATTACCAGGCTCTAACCTCACTCCTGTCTCTGCGCTCTTGGCTGCTTAGATGCCTGAGCCAGGTCTTTGTCTAGACAGGCAGGGTCTCTGTTGGTCAGAGTCATAAAAAGGGGAAAAGGATGTTTGCAGTTTCCACTTGTCACCCTCCCGGTCGCCCCTAGGACTCTGAAAATTTTGGAAGAGTAAACACGGCTAGATACAAAGACTATTTAGCTCTAAGACTTGAGGCAAGGACAGTCCTTGCCTGTCCACTATCAAACAAAGCCAGTCCACTACCAAAGAGGAAAATGAACTTTAGATGCTGGATCTCCTTACCAAGAGCTTCATGAAATAGGGGCAAAGGCCAAAGGGCTGAGAGAAGTATTTTAGAGTCCATGCCTGCTTTTCCTTGAAGAGAAAAGTGACCACTGGGCAGGCTTCTTTTCCATCCCTGCTGCCTCATTGGCCTTGAGACATCTCGCCTGGGTTGTGTGGCTTTCTAGAGCCAGCTCTGGGAGTTTGCAGAAACCTGCTCTGAGCCTTACCAACATGTGCTTTCCTGCCACACTGGCGTCCTGTGGGCTGGCTGCACGTAATCTGACAGAAGTCCCTGTGATTCTGTATACACAATTACAGTGTTGATTGACCAGTGGCAAACTGTTGCAAAGGAAATTCACATCCATCTCAAAGGAGAGTTTTATGAAAAGCAATTTGCAGGCAGAATAGTCTAGTTAGAACATGATGAAGCCAAGTGAGTTGATACTTGCTAGTTCCCCGAAGGTTGAAGGGCAGGGAAATACTTGTGCAAGTATAAAAATAGGAAGAAGTTTAAGTAGGCTCTGGAAAAACTGCATAAAAGACACTAGTAAGAGTAGAATCTCTAAGGTGATGTAGAACTGGAGCAGACAGAGATTTGAATACCAGGAGTATGGACATTATCATACAGCACATGGGGAGTATCGAAGGTGTTCATGATAGAGGTTAGGTATTATTAAAGCTCTATGTTAGTAAGATTTAAGGGGTGGTGTGCAAAATGGTTTTTGTTGAAGACCTTAGCTTGTCAAGCATCTTTTCTACCAGTTTCCAGGAAGTCCACAGCTTTGCCTCCGGCAGAGCTTTGCCGTGGGGCCCACTGTGTGCCGCCATGGCCAGCTGCCACTCTCTCATCCTTCTGGACGGGACCATCCAGGGAGACCCTCTGGACCTCAAGATGTTTGAGGGCACTGCCTGGGTAAGGTGATAGTTTCTTGCTTCAACTGAATGAGGAAAACTTGAAGAAATCCTTACTGGGAATGCTAAAGGTTTTCTATTGTAACTTTGGTTGAAACCCAGAGAAGATTCCTAATAATGCACAAATGATAATCTAATCTTATCCAAATTTCCCAACCTCTGTACCAAAGAACTCTGTTAATGAGTCAGCAGGAAATAGGGTTGCCTGATCAAATGAACTTGGGAGCTGCTGTTGAAACAAAGTTAGCTCAATTTGACTACAAGATTTCTTTAGTACGTTGTAGGTCACCATGAATATTCAAGAGAGACTATGAAATGCCGCATTTACCAAACCTGTTTGACCACAGAACCCTTCTTGACAGACCAAAACATATGTTGGAGAAAAATGTTCTTTAAAGCATCCTCAGAGAAACAGTAGACTAAAGCAGTGCTGTCCAATATAGAATCCACTCACCACATGTGGCTCATGAGCATTTGAAACGTGGCTGTGCAACTGAGGAACAAAGTTGTATTGTATTGTATTGTATTGTATTGTATATGTTTAAGTTGAAATAGACACGAGTGGTTGATAGCTACTATATTAGATGGCATAAGTCTACACACGGAACTGATGGAACTACAGGGCTCTCAGTCCAAGTGGTTCGGTTGTCTGAGTTGAGTGTAAATGGCAGTAGAAGGTCACAAACCCATCCTGGCAGCTGTGTGACAAGGTGGGAAGACCCCTCAACTCCACCACTCTCTAGATGTGTGACCCCAAACTCAGAACTGAGACTCTGAGTCTGTGCCTCCTCTGTGCATTTGAGATGACAAAGCCTCCCTCGTGGACTTGTGGTGCGTGTAGAGACTATTAGCCTAAAAGGGCCCTGTGTGAAGTGCCCAGCAAATGGAAGGCATTAATTAATTAATTAGTTACTTACTTACATTCTGTTACCCTTCAAAAAATGTTCTAAAGCTCCTTACAATGATACACCAAACACAAGACAGCATTTTAAACAGAGTTGTTAAAAAATGGAAACACCAGATTGTAGGGACATGAAGTACCTCTCACAAAAAGGTTAATTTAAAGATGTATAGTAGGAAAACTATAGCTTTCTAGAGGCCAGAGTAAAAACAGAATAAACCTAGCAAACAGGGAACTTGTTATCAGTAAGTTATAATTAGAGTATTTGTTTTGCAGAAATTTTTGACACCAAGACAGAAATACACCCACTTTTCTGGATCTTCATAGAGAGGAATTGGTGTAATTATCATCTGCAATATCTTACCACCACCATTAGAGGAGACACAACCATGGATGGCAGAGGGCCATTATTACTGTACGGGACTTAGGTCCTGGTTTCAGTGCTGCCCCCTTTTCCTTCAGAGGAGGGTGGATCTATCTGCACAAATGGCCAACAAGTTAGGGTCTTGTGTGGGAACATAAGTCTTTAGTAGTAGCTCTGAAAGAACTGTTTTTATGAACAGTTATATCCACCCCAAACAAAGCATAAAAGTGCAAGATTATTCACTGAGTTTAAAGCTGGGTGAGAAGCAGCCTTGAGTTAAACATCTTTTGGTAGTCAGGAACCTTTCACTAAATGTTAAGGGGGAGAGAAACAGTCCTTACAGGCTGTAGAAATTTTAGCACTAGAAGGGATGTTAAGAGCATTTTTCAAAAGAAACTGAGATCTGAGTTTCTCAGATTTTGAGTCTGAGAAAAATGAAGTGATGTTCCCAAAATTAAACAAGCAAGTGACAGAGTGGAAACCAATAGTTGTCTCCTATTTTCTGACCATATATATATATGATATATATATTACATATATATTAGTAATTACAAAAATATTAATTTCTCAGGTGTTATGACTTATAATGTTATAATATCCAAAGAAAACAAACCATTTTAAATAATGCTTTCTAATTGGCTGGCCGCTAACTTGCTAACTCTCTGGCTGACCAATTAGGCTAGTAGCATGGATATAGCATAAGAAATAGTCCTGTGTTTAGCTCAAGATCCAATCCCAGCTCCTTGGAGAGCTAAAGGGCTCAGCTCTATTGGAGAGTAGATCTCCACAGCAGTCTCCTTCAGTCACTAGAGATCCCATTTAGGAAGAGCATTGGCCTGTAGCTCATCCATCAGTTACTATTTAAAATGCAGTCACAATATTTCTGGCTTTTTGACATTCTAGAATAAGGTCCTTTAATGTAAGTCAACACAATGGAAATTTGACAATGACGGTATTAAGATAATTGGTCTAGAAGAGAACGTATGTGAAAAGGGCTTTGAAAAGATTAAAGTGCTATGCAAATGAGAAAGATTTCTTTTTTAATTTTTTCTCTAGGGAATCTTATGTTTTCTTTTTTAATTTTAAAACAGAAAATGGAACATCGCAATGCGGACTACTGCAAATTTAGGGTGTCAGACTCAAATGTAATAATAAAACCAGGACCGAAAGCTAGTCAGGTATGATTTGCTTCTTTAAATCATATAGCTCTTTCTCTTAAAACTGATGAAACTCTCCTGACTTTCACATATTTTTATATTCCTATTATTTTGCCTTATCCTAACAGTGTCCATAGTTGGTTTGCTCATTCCTTCATTCCCGAATTTATCCATTAATTTATTCAAAACCCACTGAGCACCTACATATGCTAGAGAACTGTGCTAGGTGCTCAGGGATAGAGTGACTTCAAAGCTAGACGTGCTGGTCTTTGTGTTGGAGGAGCACATGGGCCAGTAAAAAAAATCAATAGCAGTCCAAATAAGTATAATATAATGTACCAAGTGCTATAATAAAGGCTGAAGACAGAGCCGCAGGAGTCCAGAGGTGGGAGTGTATGCTGCTTCTGGGAGAGAAGCACCACAGAGGAGGGGAGGCCTGTGAGTTTGGCCTGAGATGACCAGGATTTCTCCAGGCAGCCAAAGGGAAGGGCCTTGCAGGCCAGGCAACTTGATGAGGAAATCACCTGAGAGGCAGCCAGAAAAATACCAGTGTTGTGATACTTTGTGATGTGCCTGAGCTCATTGTAGAGGGCAGCCTATTTGTCGGTGTGTATGTAATACATCTCACTCAAAAGCTTCCTAAACGCCTCTGTCTCGGTCCACCACAGAGCCCCGTGGAAGCCATCGCCATCCTGCGCCAGTTTCCGTTCTCATCGAGCCTGCAGCGGATGTCAGTGGTGGCCCAGCTGGCAGGGGAGGAGCACGTCCACGTCTACATGAAGGGCGCCCCGGAGATGCTGGCCCAGTTCTGCAGATCTGAAACAGGTACTGACGGATGCTCTTCTCTTTCAGGAGGGAAGTATTTTTAAAGTTCATGCATAGAGCAGACAAGGCTAAGCCAATACATGTGGAGGTGATTGTCTTCTTGGTGAGTGGGAAGTGGGACTGGAAGGTTTGATTAGGCAGACATGATCATTTCAAGGCAAAGAGGCAGAGAGTAAATGCCCAGCTGTGGTTGAACCATGACGGGGTATCAGGGAAGGAGATGTGAAGTGAGCATCAGGAGCCAGAATAAGAAGCTACTCAAGGTTTTGAGAACCAGGATGGGTGAGTGTGAGGAGCATTTGGAAGAGGAATCCACAGGGACAGGCTGGGACACTAGAATGGTTCTACAGCAGAGGTGTTCCGTCAGTTCCTGGGGAGCCGGCTCCACTGAAGGGGTCTCAGAGACATTGATGGAAGGAGAATGTAAAAAAGATAAATCTTTTAGGAAAAAGAGAGTGTTTAAATTAGGTAGTATTAGAGCAAGGTAATTGACCATTTTCACAGCAATTTCACCTCGCTGGGCCAGGTTTTGCACTGATTTGTGTTGTTTCTCAGTCTTACAGACACATGCTCCTTCTAAGCAGCAGCCCAGATTTATGAGGATACTGTTGCATTCAAATGGCTTTATTTGGATAAAATTAGCCTTTTCCTTCGGACTTGCATCTATATTCTCGTTATGATGACTGATAGCCATCAACTTGTGCACCGAACTTTTGATTTGGCAAACAATTCTTTGTGGTTCCACATTTCTATTAAAGCATTTTTATACAGTGAAAGTTAAAACAAGGTGTAGTGACTGCATGCCAAAGTCTTGCTTAGGAGTTGGGTGACCTTCAGTGTGACTTTCCATTTACCTCTCTCTTCTCTCGTGGCAGTGCCCAAGGATTTCCCACAGCAGCTGAGAAATTATACCAAACAAGGCTTTCGTGTCATTGCCCTTGCCCATAAAGCCTTGAGTGTGGGGAAGCTTTTGGAAGTGGAAAGTTTATCCAGGTAAGAAACTCAGAAATTGGCTCAATGGGAATAAAGAGAAGGAGCCCCAGAGAGTATGGCTTGATGGAGAGTTCAAATCATTAAGGAAACTCTTAGAGGTGAAGAGTCAATCTCTTCCAGTCCCCTAATTCAGAGAGGGCTAAGTGTGAGCCACACCGGGGAGGACTTGATTAGGTCACCATGCTGGTCAGTGGCAGAACACGGATGGTAGCTGAGATCTCCCAACTTCCAGATGCTCATAAGTTCTCCCTCTTCTGAATTCCATTATCCCCCCAAGAATGACCAGCCCTTCTTCAGCCTTGGAACACTACGTGGCTAACTGACTTGGGAGGCCTACATGCAAGGAAGGCCTACATAAAGAGGAAGGAGAGAGTTGGCACCTAGAAAGTCCTCCAGAATCTTTAGACTTGGATTCTTTCAGAGCTCAGTAATACACCTCTCTCAGATCTGGAGAGACAGTGAGGGCAAACTGAGTTCCTTAAACAAACTAGAACCCAGTATCCTTAATTATGTTAAGGAGATGAATGGTCCTCCTTAGAGGGTTAATTTTTCCTTTTGACATTTCTCAGTTTTTAAAGGTTGTTTTTGAATCATTTATAACAAAGAAGTAGAGAAATACTGTAAAAAATTTGAATAATGAATCACCTATGCATCAGTTATCTTTGATGTTGTGTTGCCGATGGAGATACTTTTATGTAAAATCAGCTCCCCTGCATAAAATATGGATATTCTTTGTTCAACATTAGTATTTACAACTTAAGTCCATCCACTCTAGTGTAATCAGTAGTGATTGTCCCTTTCTTACAGTGTCAGTTTCCCGTCTTCAAAATGTAGGATTTGATGATCTTTAAGGAGCCTTTTCAACTACAACATTTTAATCTTCTAAATAGAATTACAAAGCTCATTTTGAAATATATGAATGGCACTCTCAGATTTCATATTCAAGGTGTTAGCTATTCTTGAGCAAGCATAAAAACCCATCACACTCAGGATTTTATAAGTTTTCAAGGCAAATTTTAATAACAAACATTAAGCTCATGTATGAAGAGAGAATATTTATGTATCTGGACATGGAGCATAGCTACCACCCAGCTGCCACGTGCACATGCAGCTGTGATGTTCTTATTTAAAAGCCACTAGTGAAATAGACATTATTATAAATATACCAACATTTAAGAAATGAGGATTAAATGTGCTAGATTTCTAACTGTCTCAGACTCTCCAGGAGCCTGTTTTGCTTCTTGGAATTCAGTTACTATTTTCAAACCAGATAAAATAATAGGGTTTTGATATTCTTTAGATTCAAATTCTGTTTAGCAAAGTTTTCCAATTAGAAAATAAAAAAAAATTCTAAAAAACTGCCATCAGAGAAGGAAGTAAGACAGCTTTGTGAGACGACAAAAAAAAAGCTAAAAAATAGAAGAAATGTTTTATCAAGATTCCCCCTTCCATTGGTTTAGCTAAGTTCTATTGAGCTGAACTGTGTGAGATGCTCTTTGAGGCATTGAAGATTCAGAGTGAATAAAATAAAATTCTTGTCCTCCTGAGCTTATATCCTAATTGGGGAAATAGGTAATAAAATAAATCTATACAATATTGTCAAGTACTGATAAATGGCCTGAAGGAAAAAATTAAGTGGGTTGAGAGGATTAAAAAAACAACAACCAGAAGACACCATTTTACATGGGGTGATCAGGGAAGTCCTCTGACGGGGCGCCCTTTGAAGAGAGCTGTGGGGAGAGTGAGGGAGGAAGGACTGCAGATAGCCAGGGAGGGGGAAGCCTTGCAGGAGACAGGAAGAGTGGCGCAAGGACCCCGATACAGGGTTTTGCTAGAAATGCTGTGGAATCACAACAGCCACAAGGTCTGAAAAGGCGAACAAGGGGAAGAGTCCCAAAACAGAGCTGAAAACCAGAATAAACTGGTGAGAAGATTTTTGGATTTTTCTTTTAATTCAAGTTAGTGAGAAAATATGATTCCAATTAAAAATGGAAACTCATGAGGTCAAATGATGGGATTTTAACAAGTGCTATACTGAGGTACATTTTTTAAATAATATTTTCTGAGATCTCTAAGACAGGATTTATATCTGATTATCTGAGTATCCACTGAAGTGCCTGATGTAAGATCTAAAATAAAGTAGTTATCCAGTGAATGGACTTTTGCCTGAAATATGTAGCAATTTAGACTCTACTCCAGAGAGTAATGTTCCCATTCAAATTTGAATTGTATTTTCAAGCCTCCAATTTCAAATTCTGAAAACTGTTCAAACCCTTGGCTGATATCATGTTTATCCTGGAGCTTATAGACAGAAGCTGAAGTGAATGATACCATATTTGACTATTACTATAGTATCCTCTATGCAGTATATACTTAATAAATGTATAATAAATAGATTATTATAAGATCTAAAATGCCTTGGAAATAAAAATACAAATGATTTTTTAAAAGTTTTTACAACCAACAGAAGAGCTGCAAGATAAGCATAATGTTTTAAAAAATGGAGTTGAAAACTATAAGGAGCTAAAAGATATAAAAGCGGTTGCTGCCACTAAGAATGAGGGTGGTGTGAGGACATGATCTCTTGGTTTTTATTTTAAGCTTTGGATTTTTTTAATTAATTAAATATGGACATATATTACATTGACAAAACTTAGAAAGTTTCATCACTTCTTTAAAAAGAAGGAATGAATCCAACTCTTGAGACTATGTAAATAAGCTTTAATATCAATTTTCTTGAATCCAAAGAGAGAAGGTGGAGTCCGAGTTAACATTTCTGGGACTTCTCATAATGGAGAATCGCTTGAAAAAGGAAACCAAGCCAGTCTTGAAGGAGCTGAGTGAGGCCCGCATCAGGACTGTGATGATTACTGGTAGGTATATGTTTCTGGAGGCCTGCTAAGTTGAATGTGTCTCAGGCATAGGAAGAATACAGTGTGAGCTGAGTGAGTTTATGTGGCTGAGGCAGAAAGAAGAATGCTTTGCTGTCAAGTTTGTTACCCTGTGGTACAGTTATTTGGAAACATGTGGCTCTCCCAACACCACCATGAGTTTGGGAGGCACTAACCATATCGTATTTTCTTCGTCTAGTGCCCACTCTTCCTACCCAGGAAGCACACTGCTAAGGGGCTCGCAGTAAATGTTCAAACACAAGAATGGATGTGTTTGCATCAATAACCCCAATAGGACCTCTGTGTAAAGGGTGTGAGACTCAGCCTGGCTGTACTTCAGGGCAGTGGGGACTGTCAAGGCACAGGATAATCCAACTCAAGTGTGGCCCAGCTAGCACTAAGTGTTCTTTTCTCTGCTTACCTGGAATCCACATCCCAAGGGTGGTTTGATGCTATCAGATTGGGTCATACTACCTTCACCACTAAGAGCTGTCAGTCTCCTGACGATTAGTCATGAAGTGACAAACATTGATTTACTTATTTGTGCATGTTTTGAAAAGCATTCAGGACGGCAGGACGCTCACTGTGGTGGGAGCGAAATGCAGACATGGCAGTTGACCACTAGGGGCAGACAGGCTGAGGCAGAGGGGAAGAGAAAGGGTTATTTAAAAAGGCAGAAAGCAGTAAATGCCCCAGCAAACCACCAACCAAGTAGTATGGACACTCAGGAGAGGGGGAGCTCAATTCTCATTGCTGAGAAGTTTATACATAAAGCCAATTGACTTTCTTTGTCAACTAGGTGACAACCTGCAAACAGCCATTACCGTTGCCAAGAATTCCGAAATGATCCCTCAAGGCAGCCAAGTAATCCTCATCGACGCTCATGAACCAGAAGAGTTTGTTCCTGCTTCTGTGACCTGGCAGCTGGTAGAGAACCAAGAGAATGGACCTGGGAAGAATGTGAGCAAATGTTAAAGGGCCCCTTCGTGGCTGGAGCTGACAGGGCACTGGCCCTGGGCGTTCTTCTCTTGATATCACAAGTCATCACAGTAATAATACTCATATCTGTCCAGAGCTTCACAGTTTGCAAACCATTTAGCATTTTCATCAGCACTTCTCAGCCACAGCTGGACAGACACATCACCTGGAAGATGATTAAGCTCTACTGGTTAATAAGAACCCCTGGGCTGGGAGCTGGTCTCAGCCTTTCCTGCTGGTGTTTGCAATATTCAGTCACAGTTGAGAATCACCAATTTACATCCATAATCCCCATTTAATCCTCACAGTTACCCTGTACAGTTGAGTAAACTATTCATTTTACAAATGAGAGAACTGAAGCCTAAGGACGCGAGTCTGTCCAAGACATACAGCTGGCAAGTTGCAGAGCAGACTGTCAAACCCAGGTCTGTTTGATTCTACCCAAATCACAGGAGTGTAGATAGTGCTGCACCTGTGACATGCAGTGAACAGGTGTCAGGTCTTCTCCAGAGTAGGCTCCCTGGGTACTTGTGACAGGACAGCCTTTTCACATGAAGGGAGTGCTTGCAGCCTGACATCCCATCACTAAATGCACCACCTGTCTTTGTGCGAATTCAGAGAGACAGTCCTCCAGGTCATAAATCACAAAGATGCTCTCTTCTTCTAGGCTGGCCAGCCCTTTGGCTTGTGAAGTGTAGAGCAGGCCTTTGTTCAGTATACAAACTTCACAACTGCCCAGAGTGCTCCTGCCCCTACCCTATGGAGAGGTGCCTTACCTTGGCTCAAACCCCTTTGCATGGGTTTGAGTGAAAGATGACAACTCTCTCTATGCTTTCAGCAGACTTCAGCATCACTTTATATTGCCTCCAGTTCACTGTGTGATGAAACTCAGGTCCTCACTTATCTTTAACACCACCCATTCATGAGTTTAATACCTTGACTGACATTTTAGCTGTTGCTGGGAGAAGTCACATCACAGTCTCAGGCTTTCCTCCTCCTCTCTGTCTCCCTCCCACCAGCCCCGCCCCCAATTTCTACTAAAAGTAAAAGGAACCCTGTCCTTGCCTCAAGTTGAATGCTTCAGAGCACATCTTTTTGTTGGCCATTTCATGGGACTTGGGAGGAGATGCACTTTGCCTTCCAATTTGACACATCGAAACATTTTTCCTTCCAAGTGCAATGCTTTCCCAAAGATGAATTTCTCTAATGAATGAAATTTTCTCACCTATTCACATGATGAGTGCATATACATTTATCAGATGCTCTTCTGTGGGACTGGAACACAGTGACAGGGGACACTGACAGGTGAAAGACAGGAGGGCAAGTATTTCAGAAAAGGAGCTGTGCCCCATAAGGAAAAAGGTTTCCTGTTGGGTTGGGGGGAGGTCAGGGGCTAAAAGACCTCTGGCTCTGATAAAAGATGTTTATTTTATAGTGAAGACTGTGAAATGATTTTTGAAGGAGTGAATTGTAAGTGATCTTAGGAAATAAAAGATTACATGATGAAAAGAAGGAAGAAGAGGGATGAATGTTCCTGTTCTTAAAATCACTAATTGGTACCTGAGAATAATTTCCTCTGTAGAATGAAACACACATGTTATCTCCCAGGATGGGATCCAGAGCATCATGCTGTCAAAGTATTGCATATTCATATATAATTTGGGGAGGTATTTTGAGTGTCTTCTTCATATAAATCTATGTTTCATGGGCAAATCACATATTATGTGTTTGCTAGCCCTCACATGGTTATGAAATATGAATGTAATTCCTTACAGAAGACATCAGAAAGCAAAGCGATTCTGAAACAGCTAAGAGCCCATGTGGAAATAATGCCTTTTGATTTTAGGAAACCTACATTAATATTGGAAACAGTTCAGTGCCTGCTGGAGAAAAAGGGAGCTGTTATCATTTTGCAATGAGTGGGAAATCATACCAAGTGCTATTTCAGCATTTCAACAGCTTGCTTCCAAAAGTGAGTACTGGCGAAACGAAATGTTGTGTTTTCCTCTGCAAATTAGTGAGGCATGAAAGGGCAAGAGAGTAGCGAGGCTGACATCACTGAGAGTATCTCTGAGTTAGGGAATAAACACCTCCCAAGGGTCACTGCCCATTCTGAAGTTTCCTGGCCCCGCCTATGTGCACCTGGCCCTGCACTTGCCCAGGGCCTCCTGTTGGGTGTTTGAGTTCTGGTACCGCCAGTCGCCCCTGCCGCCAGTCCAACCCCAGCCTCCCTCCTTCCTCCTTCCCCAGCAGGAGAACCTCAGGATAGTTCCAAACATGTTCCTGCTTTGTGGGTCAGCTTTTCTCTGAATTACAGCAGGAAGAAACAAAGTCCCCATGGTTTCTTTTCAAAATCATTTATCTTCTCCTCTGTGTGTCTATTTTAAAGTAGTGCTGTGCAGGGCTGTGCTGTCAGTGTGAAGGAGGTAAGTGGAGCACAAGCTGGGGGCAGCAACCCTCTGTTAGCCATGTCTTGAGAATTCTGTCATCTTACCAGCCAAGGACTGTAAAATCTAGACTCCAAAGGCTTTCAGAAAGTGATCAGTCCAATTCCTCATTGTAGGGATGGGAAAGCTGAGCCTCAGAGAAGTCAAGTCACCCATTGAAGGTTTGTACAGGTAATTGGTTCAGAGCTGAGAAGAGAAGCTTATTTCTCAGCTCCGGATCTGTTGCTCTCTGTCTATGCTTCAGCTGTGGAGACAGGGTTTAGTAAAAAGAGCTGTATTTCCTTAAGCATTTTTATCCCATATGCTCTACTGCTTTTTAGTTATTGTTATTAAGGAGAGGTTATCCCATCTTGGAAAAAATGGCCTGGAAAGAACTAATAGAGTTGTGACGGAGGAGTGAGAGAGCAAGTTAAATATTAAAGCATTAAATCCCCTTATTCCCTTTCCTGACATTTGGTCTAATGACCCACTCCCCAATGCTATGTTCAAACAGTGGCCAGAGGTGATTTTTCAAGCCCATTCTTTTATTTTAAAGTATTCTTTTTTTTTCTAATCTTATTGCAGCAATCATTTTTTCTCTTTAGATTCTTGTGAATGCAACCATTTTTGCAAGAATGTCTCCTGGGCAAAAATCAAGCCTTGTTGAAGAATTTCAGAAATTAAAGTAAGTGTTATTACATGAAAGGAATGAATTCATTACCTACTGTGTAACAAATTATCCCAAAATGTAGTGGCTTAGGATAACACTATTTATTGTTTTATAATTCTGTGGGTCAGGCACCCAGGCATGCTTAGCTGACTCTTCTGCCTCTGCGTCTCTCAAGGCCGTAATCAGTTGTCGGCCAGAACTGCGGTCATCTCAGCACTTGAGGGAGAAAGATCTGCCACCAGCCTCCCTCATAGGCTGTTGGTAGGATTCCGTTTCTTGTGGGTGGTGGGACTAAGAGTTTCTGTTTTCCACCGGCTGTTGGACACAAGCCACCCTCAGTTCCTGGCCACATGGGTCATTTTACAAGGAAGCTCACAATGTGGCAGCTGACTTCCCTAAAAGTGAGCAAGGAAGAAGAATCAGAGAGAGAGAGAATCACCATTTTTTTTATACCTTCAGCTCAGAAATGACATCTCATCATTTTTGCTGTATTCTCTTCATTAGAAGCAAGTCATGAGGTCCAGCCCACCCTCAAAGAAGGGCATGGCACATCACAAATACCAGGAAGCAGGGATCCCTGAGGACCATTTTAGAAGTTTTCTGCCCCAGAGAGCATTCATACTGTGGCCCACACAGGGCATATCTTAGAGGAAGATTGCCTCCTTAGATGTAGAGAATGGAAACAGTAGGGGTTTCTACAGCTCAGAAAGGGAAAAATGGGGAAGTATGTGAGTTATCACTTGAAATGACCTGAGGTGGGTTCATTAGAACATATGTAAATAATTTCAGATCTTCCAGAAAAGAGGTGAATGACATTCTTACTATGTCAGGCCCTGGCAAGGAACGGGTATAGAAGCCAAAGTGAAAAAACAAAGTCCTTTCTTATCTCCTTCAAAAACATAGATGGCCATGTCATGTCAGAATAAAATGGTTCTTGAGACCAAACCTGCCTATTGTATGCTAGGAATGTTACAGTTTGTCGGGTATGGATTTCTGAAAAGTGAAAAGGAACAGAGTGGTCAAACTTTAGATAACTGCTGATAAGTAGCAGGTAAAATCCCAAGACTGACTTTTACTATTATTTTTTATTGCCCAGGCATCCTTGGGGTGTTTCAAAAATTGCTTATTAACTCCCATAATGCCTTGAGTCTCGATTAGTAACCAGTATCTAAAATGGCTATTTCACTTACATGGTCATGATATAACATTGGCTGGTGAAAGTAACTTTACTTTTCTCGAATGCCTGAGAAATTTTGCTAATTTAAATGCTTAAAGTTGAAAAACTATATTCCCCTAAGGAAAAATCAATTCAGGAAGATATATGCTGTTTCAGAATGAGCGGTCTTCTCAATTTCACAATCTTCTTCCTCATGCCCTTATCACTGGCAGTGTGCAGAAGGCTGCCTGAGTTCTCCTTCTGAATTCAGGGGACGCTAGCACGTGTAAGATTCCTCCTGTGATACGGAGACTGAAGGTGTGCTTTAAGGCTGAGGAAGGAAACCCATTTTCAGCAAATGTGCATAGTCAGGACATGTACATGAGCACATACAAATATTTTTTAAAAGATTTTATTTATTTTTAGAGAGAGGGGAAGGGAGGGAGAAGGAAAGGGAGAGAAACATCAATGTATGGTTGCCCCTCGTGTGCCCCCCGCTGGGGATCCCCAGGTGTGTGCTCTGACTGGGAATCAAAGCAGAGGGGCTTTGGTTCTCAGGCCCGTGCTTAGTCCACTGAGACACACCAGCCAGGGCAAACATACAAATATTTATAGAGTGATTTTTCACTTATTCTAGCCAAATACAAATTTGCTTACTTTTGACTATTTTTACCTATTAAAAATGGCCATTTCTTTGTCAACTAATAATAAGGAAATTCTCTAAAACCTTTGTTTTTCTCTGTATTATCTGGTTATTTCATGTGTTTTTTGGCAATTTGAAGCTGAGCCTTTAATATTATTGTCATTAATCAATACCTATAATGTATTATTTACTTATAATAGAAGACAGAGTATGTCTCATATCAGAAACTCCTTTTTCTTTGGCAACAGGTTTAATATTTACTGTTATTTATTTTTCTTGCCTTCCATGCCCTATTCACTCTGTTATTGATACCATTGTGTTTGCGCCCCAAACTGATATGATGGGAGCATATTATCTCATTTTTACTCCAAGATGCATCAAAAATATGTGTATCTATCTCTAGCTCTATCTGTTAAGCTGTTTCCCAAATGTTTCTCACCCTGGTGTCTGCACTCTAAACTCCCAGCAGCAGTCAGCAACCAAAACATGGATGCATTAGAGGTTATGGTCTGTGTATGAGGTTCTGTGGCAAATGCTGTGATTATGCCTGTGTACCCTTAACCTTGGCCTTGGTGGGTATAATCAAGCAGGACTTCTTTTGAAATATGTGATCATCTTTGTGGACATCCCTGTAGTATTATTATCCCTTCCATTTGATTGATTGAAACAATTTAAATAATACAGCGGCCTTATACCTCTAGAATTTTCCTGAAGCCTGGTTTCTACATATCTTCAGTCTCTCTCTCTCTCTCTCTCTCTCTCTCTCTCTCTCTCTCTCTCTCTCTCTCTCTCTCACACACACACACACACACACACACACATCACATGTGAGTCGGGTATGATGGAAATCATTCAAGTGAGGTCTTGTTACTAATTTTTCTGATCCTTTTCCCTACAGTTATTGTGTGGGCATGTGTGGAGATGGAGCCAATGACTGTGGGGTGAGTAGAAACTGCTTCTACTAACTCAGGCAGTTCACTAACATCCCTGGGTTCTGACTCTTCACCCTTCTGCCAACAATCATTTGATTATTTTACTGTATATATTCAACTGTACCTGAGTGTGGGCTGGAGTGCAGAGAAGTGAAATGAAATAAGTCACTTCAGCTGTTATCTGGCAACACCTGGAATAATAAAGACAAGGGAAGGCTACTTACACTCCCGTTTTTCAGACTTATATGAATTTTGCAAGACTAGCTGGTTTAAATCTCTCGTGTTATGAATAAGAAAATTAGTCCAGGGAAGTGAATTCTCTTTGTACCTGAAGTCACACAACTGATAAAAATCTTAGTGAAGGAAAAGTTTGAAACTATTGATAAAAGATTTAATTATATTATTCCTGCCAAACTTCCATTGGTATTTCAGGGTTACTTTTTTTAAAGTCGATTTTTATCCTCCAATCCTTACATTTGGTTGAAATAGTGTGTGTTACATGCCGTTGAGTCACTACGACTGTCGGTGCCCCTATGAATATGTGACGCCCACAGTGTCCTGTCTTCAGCAGCCCTGCTCAGCTCCCGGAGAGTCACGCTTATGGCTTCTTTTATGGAGTCAGTCCATTTCAGATTTGTCTTCCTCTTTTCCTGCTGCTTTCCATTTTCCCCGCACTATGGTCTTTCCAGAAGAGCCTTGCCTTCTCATGATGTGCCTAAAACAGGATAGCTTCAGTTTTGTTATTTTTGTCTCTAGCAATGTTTCAGGCTTCATTTGCTCCAGGACCCACTTGTTCATCTTTCTGGCAGCCCAGGGTCTCTGCAGAGCTCTCCTTGAACACCACATTTCAAACGGATCAATTTTTTCTTATCAGCCTTCTTTACTGTCCAACTTTTGTATCTGTATACAGTAACTGGGAATACAAGGATATGGATGATGTTAACCTTGGTCTCTAATGACACATCTTTGCTTTTAGTAACCTTTCCTAACTCTTCCATTGCTGCCCTTCTGAGTCTCAGCCTTCTCTTGATTTGTTGGCTGCAGTCCTCATATCAACTGATGACTGAACCAAGATAAGCCCAATATTAAACAGCTCAATGAGCTTCTAGACCAAACTATTCAGTTGATATATACTGTAGCAAAACCTAAATTAAATGATTTTCAACAGATTACTTCTCATACACAGTAGGAGACAGTACATGTTTTATAATCTGAGTTTTAAAGAATGGTTGAAACAATACTGTAAAGATTTATGTGCATAAGAAAATATTTTAGGAGCTAATGTGCGGGACAAGAAGTGAAGGGATTGCTTTGTATTTCCAAAGCCTATTAGATACTTAAGATCTGGGTATTTATTTTACTTCCTTCTTCAAATGTTTTCTTCAAAGTTCTAGGTAAAACCATGTCCATACTTAGAGATCTATTGTGAATTTTTTCTGCATTATACTTCACACGAAGCTAGTTTTTAGTTCACTCTTCAAATTTTAGAATGAGTACACATTCCCATTAGTTATGTGGAGTTTAGAACCAAACAAAGAAATCAAGTGCTAAAAAGGATATAGTCTGTGCCTCTAAAGAGTCCATTGTTTGGTAGGAGAAAGAATCATGCATAAAAATAACCCTAAAATAAAGTAGATGGTACTAAATTATATGACATAGGTGCAAAATATTAAGAGAAAAGAGAGGAAGAAGAAAATATCTTAATATTTATTGACCATGAATTTAGTTATGTATCAGTCATGGTATCCAGGTCCTTTGTAGTTCTTTAGAACTGCAGAAATATGAAGTCTTGTTTTATGCCCACACAACTCCCATAGAATCAAAGACTTGTTGGCCTTCCAATTTGTCACTGTCTGCTCTGTGCACTTTCTGAAAAGTGTTCAGTCTTTTTTTAAATATTATTTTTATGTGATATATTTTATAATTACTCTTAGAAATAGTGTTTCTTTTCTTATTTTTTTCAATCCAGGTTGACATTCAATATTACTTTATATTAGTTTCAGGTGTACAACCCAGTGATTAGACATTTATATAATTTATGAAGTGATCCCCCTAATCATTCTAGTACCCATCTGACACTTACATAGTTATTGCAATGTTATTGACTATATTCCCTATGCTGTACTTTACATCCCAATGACTATTTTGTAACTACCAATTTGTACATCTCAGTCTGTACAGTTCTTACCCAGACCACCAACCTCCCCACCCCCATCAGTTTGCTCTCTGTGTCTATGAGTCTGTTTCTGTGAACAGTTTTCAGTCTTGATGGGAAATGAATTAGCCTTCATTTCAATGAGGCAACACACATACTAGTATAAGTCATTAATGAGTATGCTCTAGTTCCTGCATTCAGTAGAGATGCCGTATGCCCCATATTTCATACCAGCAGTTAGCTGGTTGGCCTGCTCAGGAAGCCTACGGAAAGGTGGGGATTGGATATTTTTTCCTATTGTTCATCAGGATGACCTGCTAAGTGTAAGAACTGTGATAATGAAGTTGCCTGACAAACATCTATCCAAATGCTGTTAACTTTTTAAGACTTCTTGAATGACTATTTCCATTTTTTATTACCTTGATACGCCACAACCAACACACGCACACACGCACCCTATTCTTCTACCTCTGAATCATTGTTCAGTTGGTGCCTCTTTAATTGGTGACTTTGTGGATCAGGGGGAAAGGGTATCCCAGGTGGAGGGAGAACATAATCAGAGACCCAGGGGTGGAAGCATGCGGTGTTATAAAACTCTACATTGTGAAGAGCTTCGCCGTGTTTGAGCAGTCAGAGCCTGGCCCGAGGAACCCTGAGTATAACAGGGTTCCCTGAGGGTTACCCTGAGTATAACACGCATTTATCATTCCAGGCTTTGAAAATGGCTCACGCGGGCATTTCCCTGTCAGAGCAGGAGGCATCTGTGGCCTCGCCTTTCACCTCAAAAACAGCCAACATTGAGTGTGTGCCTCATCTCATCAAGTAAGCCACTCCTCCCTCCTCCGCCCTTGTGACCGATGGGTTTGTTCTCTGGCTCTGGACAGAATTCAGCTATAATTTAGGGCTGATTGTCTCAACAGAGGCGTGGGTAAAGTGCCACTGGAGCACCAAGCAAGGAAGCCATGAGTGCTGCTTGAGAATGCGGGTAAAAACCACACACAGAAAAATGACTTTTGCTGAGCATTAAATGATAAATGACTGTGTCATGTGGACAGTGGAAAGCTGAAGTTGGTATTTAAAAAGTAATTGCTTTTTTCCTTCTCTGCTTTATGTTGTATGTTGGGTACTCGCTGGAACCTTTCTCCCGGTAGTCGACAATGGGTGAGGAAGCAGAAAGGGGCCATTCCATCAGGTAGCTTCCCCAAGGAGTGTTCCATCCCTGAAGTACAAATGAATGAACATCCAAAATGACTGCAGAAAAGAATTTTACAATTGATTGGTAATAGTTAGTGAAGAGGGAGGGATTAAACACTGTTTATTTTCTCAACATAGCTCCCTTACTTCCACTTCTCTCTCATTTCTGATGTTGTCTTTACTCTTGCTTGAAATGTAGTTAAGAACAACACAATAGGCTCTACATTTTGTTCATAAGTCCTATTCCCCTTTTGTTCCCTATAACATTGTGGGGTGACTTTGGCCAGTGGTCTGGAAGATATCATCAAATCTTGAGATTTATACAAAAAAGACAACCATGAAGCTCTCTGGCATGTCCTGTGGTGTATCTGAATGGCAGCTACTGACAAGAATCACTGACCTAAAGGTGCCAGGCTAGAAATCCCATGCCCCTGTCTGGCTGCATGTCAGGGTGGCAGCTTGACACATATTCCTGAACACTGGGTGGCTGCACCTGTGTCCTTCCACACCCTCAAACATCACCACCTCCCCTGCCTCTAAAGCACTCCTCTCCCTAACTCCCAGGTTCCCTGCTCTAAGGACCATGTGGTCCTCAATGTCCGTCATCCAGGCTCAGAAGCTCAGAGTACATTTTACTCTTTCCTCTTCTTTACTCCTAGCCAATTGGGGATTATGTTTTACTGCTTTCAGTGACTCTTTCCAAGCCTTTTTCTTACTACCTCTACTGCCTCACTCTGGTTCATGTCATGGTGGCTCCAGCATGAGAGTGCTCAGGCCCCTCGCCTTGTTCATGCTTTCCATTATCGACACGACTCCTGGAGCTCTTTTTAAGCATTGTGCTTGGAATGTGGGGGATTAAAAATGAGAGAGAGCCTTGCCCTGGAGGACTTACATTTTAGTGAAGAATATAGATACAGATAGATAGAGTGAAAAAAACATAGTGAGAGGTGCTCAATAAATTAGCTTTAAATAAGTTCACATTCAACAATACAGTAACTTTCCCAGTAGTTCAGTATGACAACTCTAGCCAGAGGGGAGGCTTCAGCAGGGGAGTTGCACCTTAAAGGACATTTGTGAACAGAAGGAGCTGGGAGGGGATTCCAGGTGGGGGAAATGGAGAGCCATATTTGGAAACAGGGTTTTAATCGGAGGGCATGGGAGCCCAGTAGTCAATCTGGTTGGAAGGATTCTCATATGGAAGTTGTGAAGGTGAAGCTGAAGAACGAGGTGTGGAGACTTTGCATAGGGAGCTTAAACTCCTAGATCAGGGGTGTCAAACTCATTTTCACTGGAGGCCACATCAGCCTCATGGTGGCCTTCAAAGGGCCGAATGTAATTTTAGGATTGTGTAAATGTAACTACTCCTTAACAGTTAAGCAAGAGCTTGGCGCTGCCACTGTGTATAAACAAGGTGCCCAGACGGATATAAGAAGGTAAACAGCTGGATTCGGCCTATGGGCCTTGTGTTTGCCACCTGTGTCCTAGAGAGTTGCACAAAGCACTGGTTGGCCCATCCAAAGGGCAGTAGTATTTGAACTTCAGGTGCTCTTTTTCACACATGTGGCCTGGTGCATTTATAAATGTAATACACTGTTTTAAATTACAAGTGATGATGTAAAATTTCTCTAGTGACTGATGGTTTAATGATACTTCAAGGTAGAAACCCTTTGCTTTGATAGTTCATAGATTTATAAAAATTAGATGTAGTTCAGCTCCACTAGGCTCGCTGTTCTCTTGCTCTCTGTGATGCATGCTGATTCTGGAGAAAGTGTCCCCCAGAGGGGTGATGAGGTACAGCTTTAGATGCATGGGCCCAGATCCATGGGTTTTCATTTTTATCTTTAAAACACTGTTTTTATAGTTCAAGTCCTTTAGGGCAACAACTGTACCTTATTCATTTCCGTATCATCGTGCCTCTCACTAAATCAAATGCATCAGAGCATCTGCTTACTGTTTGTGGAAAGCATAGATAAATGAATGAGCAGCTTAAGATACATATTCAGTAGGAGTAGCAGTAATTTTGGACATCCAGGCAAATATTTTTTATTCTTGAGTTAGAATGGGTTATTGAACTTCCCTTTGAATCTGCCTTTTAATTTTTTTTTTGTAAATGTACCCAACTATAGAAAAAGGATAAAATGACAAAGCTTATGTCAGACAATGACTCAAGCTCCACTTGCTGGCCCCTTCTCAGTGTGTCTTCTGCTCCACCCTGTGTATGGAAAACAAAGGTGATGCCTCCTAGCCTGCTGGGAAATACCTGCCCACTGCATCTTGGCCCCTCTCCCACCCAAACTTTCTCATTTACCTGAGGCAAGGTGGTTATGGCATAGGTTTTTTAGGTTTTCCTTCTCATGTCTCTGTTCTATTGACAATCTCTGGGCAGTGCAGGTGTCTACATCACTAGGGACCAGAAACAAAAAGGGTGTGAGCTGCCTCCCTGTGGATTCGTTTGCGCTGGGAAAAAAGGAGGCCGCGGTTGGGGGTGTTCACTAAGTTCCTCACTGCCCTCTCGCACTACTGCCTCACCTGTCTTCTCCAGCCTGTCATAACCCATCACCTGACTGAGCCCCAGTTAAAGGAGTAGCAGCTCAAACAATTTTTTAAAGGGAGGAATATTTACTTTTTAACCTGCAATTTTTACTGTTACCTCTATCTCTTTTGATCTTCACACCAGCTCAGATTATTACCCTTGGTTCTTGGAACCTTCCATACCCTGGTGTATGGAAGCCAACAAAACCCATTTCACCTCAAATATTGAAGTCCCATGCACCCTTCCTAAAATGCTTTGGGTCTCTAAGGAACTCGAAAGCACACACAGCTGGGTTCTCGGGAAGCAAGTGTTGGTAGGGGGTAATGAGTCATAGTCAAGTCAATGCTTCACATTTTCCACCTCATCATATGCATTGTGTTTATAATGTACCTGTCAATCTGCTTAATTCACTGAAAGCTTGTTGAAAATAAAGACAGAGCCTGATTTATTGATATCCTCCATGGCTCTTACCATAATTCTGGTACCTCATAAACCCTAACTAAAGGTGAGTGCATGGATTAACGAGTGAGCTAATGATTAAAAGAGAGGATGAATGAATGAGTAAATAGATAACTGAGAGGATAAACTGGTGGTTAAGTGCATGTATGTCAACAGGCTATTAAAAATTAAACTCTTTTTGAAATATAAAGAAGAATGGGAGATGTGTATCATACATAACCAGTTATTTTTATTTTTTCTTAAACAGGGAAGGCCGAGCTGCTCTGGTTTCATCCTTTGGGGTATTTAAATACTTGACCATATATGGCATAATCCAGTTTATTGGTACATCGCTGCTCTATTGGGTATGAATCAAAAGAATTCTTTTTTGTTTTAGTTGCATTTACATCACTGGTTTATTCTTTGGGGGTGCAGCTCCTACACAGGATACAATGTTTTATATATAAATGGCATTTCTCAAAATAAATGTCTACAAAGTGGGAACTTGGTATAACTGCATGAAACACAGAGCTAGAAATAAATAGATGTGTCTCAGTTTTTTAGAAGTGTTGTTTTTCTCCAGATAACCTGAGACACTTGACCTCTCCAAGCCTCTATTTCTTCACTGGAATGTGAAGGAAGCTTCAGAGCAGCCTAAATATAACTCAGCAGGAAACGGATCAGTCACCAACTGTAGAATATTTTTGGCAAAAGACTAAGAAGAGGTAAAAGGAAAGACATGTTGTTGAGTTTGACTTTAGAGGATTCAAAGGCTAGGGAAACTTCCATACTGGAGCTCTACTTCTGAGTCTGCCCACAACTTACACATTTAGACATGTCATCAGTACAGGATTAGCAACTCTTCATTTTTTAAAAAATGAAGATTGTTTAAATTAAGTGATCAAAACAAACACGTAAGAATTAATTAGCTATATGGAAGAAATATGTTTAGGTTGAAAGAATACTTTAGTAGTTCAGTCATAACTTGTTCTACAGTAAAATGATCCAATGGACGCAGGGACCATGTCAGGAAAGGAGTTAATTTACTGCTTTTCTAAGACAATTGAGAGATGACTGAGAAGGCCATCGCACTCCAGCATCCGGTGGACTATTATTAGCAAGGACCACACACGGAAGGTTAAGGAGCAACCAGATGGGTAGAAACAAGGCCTGGACTGGGAGTCAGGAAACCTGGATTCAAGTTCTGCCTCTATCACTAGGAGCACATTAGATCTTGCCCTTAGCCAAGCCTTCATCTGCCTTTGGAAAGTTAGGCTGGCTGATTCCCAAAACCCTCTATAATATAGGTCTATGTAAGTTGCTCCTAGAATGAAGATTAAAAATGCTTTAAAAAATTCCTCCCTGTTGCATCCTAGTCCTCATGGATAGAGTTGGAACCATGGTCCACTCTGAAGCCATTCATTCTCATAGTCTAGGCAGGGGTGTCCAAACTTTTGGTGTCTCTGGGCCACACTGGAAGAAAAGTTGTCTTGGGCTGTATATTAAATACATTGTGACACATAATCACACACAAAAAAATCTCATAATGTTTTAAGTAAATTTTCAGTTTTGTGCTGGGCCACATTCACAGCCATCCTGGGCTGCATGTGGCCCACGGGCCTCAGGTTGGACACCCCTGGAGACCTACATAAGACTGCTTCTAAGGACCTGCACCTGGAAACTTCTGAGCCTTAGGTTCACCCTCTCACAGGCCAGAAATATTTTTCACTTGTGTCTATCAAGTCCGTAAAGTCCTCAGAGCCAGATTATGATTTGGTGCTCATTCAACCTCTGTGTAGCAGAGAAACAGACCCAGCTGCAAAAACATATTGCAAGCAGGTTTGTAGAGAGGAACCACTTGACTTTTTTATTTAAATGCTTCAACTCTATAAATGTGAACATAACGGAAGCTCTATGTCTGTATGAACTTGAGAAAGACAGGTGTGCCACACTGAAGTCTGCAGTGGGCTTCTGTGAGGCAGGAGCGCTTGTTCAATTTATGAAAGTGAACGGACCCCCAAGAGAACTATGGTGTAAACTCAGTCCATGAACAAAGATGGAAAGAAACACCTGTTCAGTGACTCAAGGCCTTAACTTTAAATTTTAAGTTTGAAATTCCCAGAGGAACTTTTGGGCTTTAATATCTTATGTTAAAAATTCAATTGTCCAGGCTAACACTGTAGCTGTCATAACTACTGTGTCCAGTCAAAGGGCTGACCCTTGTTGCTAGTATGGAATTAAGTTAAACACTGGGAAAATAGTGGTCTTGTTTCATTCCCTCCAATAATATGCAGAAGACAAGGTAAGTCACTTTCTTCCTAAAGAGGAGAGAAAAATAGCAGTTACTTTCAAAAGGAGTGTTAGAAATGATAAAGTGCTAAAATGGTAGAAACGACCCTTATATCTACTTTTGTTTACTTTTCAGCAACTACAACTCTTCGGGAATTACCAATATCTAATGCAGGATGTAGCCATTACCTTGATGGTCTGCTTGACAAGTAAGCTATTTAGCAAAGTAAACTGTATTATTTGTATTTACCCAAGAAATTCTAGAAATGTTCATCCAAATAAGACTTTCAGAGAAAGGTGCACCTTAACTACTAGAACCTCATTTCTTACGAATATTTTGAAAGTGGTATTGGAAGGAAATTGAGACTTGAAGTCCTCAGACCTGGCATTCAAGTATCCTGAAAGCAAATATGTTTTAGCCTCATAAAATTTTCAATGTATTCTGAGTTCTTTGTAGGTTTGTAGCTTGTACATAGAAAAATATACAAGAAATCTGGAAAGGGAAATCTTTAAAACCCAGAGGTCTCTTTCCATTATTTGCCTATGCTTCATGTTGACGTGAAACCAGATTTTTGCTAAGTCTTTGATGTGCGAGAACAAATGCTAGCATTTTACTCTCGTGGAATTCTCTCAAAAGCAAGGTGTGGCTTACAGCAACTATTGCTCATTTCCTTCCTTGCAGATGACACTGATACAGTATTTCCTATCAAAGAACTCGGGTTTGATACTGACTCTTAATAAGTGAGAAAGGTGACTGTCTCAACAGAGTAAAGGAAAAGAATTACGTAGTCATTTTTTCTGCCTTGTTCAACAATGAGAATGTTTTGAAATATAACAGATAAAACATCAGGCAGTGCAGGATATTAATAACCATACAAATTTCATGTTGAATCATAAAACATGAAACTGATATTGAAGTCATTTATTATATCAGCCCAATGACAAAACTTACCAGTATCAGAGATGTAAGTAATATCAATTTTGATTCTTATGGTTGAAATGTCTATTCATAGCCCATTAAAATATTTTTCTACATGTTATTCATATTCACATGACTGGATAATTTTGAATCAATGACATTGCTCTCCAATGTTGGATATTTTTAAGTAATTTGTATAATTACTTGTGAAAATGGGCAATGATGCTAAAAAGGAAATAGAACACCAGGAAGTTCCAAGAGCTAAGCTAACAGTCAGTAGCATGAAGGGAAAGGCCATGGCCATCCTTCACCACTCCCTATCTCTGCAACCTTTTGCAAATTATTTATTAAACAAATAATTTCCTGATAGGAAATGTCCTCATAGTATTGTGAGGATCAGACAAAATAATACATGTGACATGTGTGGCAAATGCATCACACACTGCGAGGACTCACTGCAAAATTAATGATATCACCTCATGCCCCTATACTCTTTCTTTCTGTGCAATGATGCTAACTCAGGGAGCCTTTGGAAAGAGTTCGACTGCATACAGGTAGACTGTGTGATTAGTAATCCAAAACACTGGGTGGTAGTCTTAGCCTTGCCTCAGAATGAGAGATGACTTTAAGCAAGTTATTTTGAGCTTTGACACACTTAATTTCACAATATTGCTGGTAAATCGGACTCCCATGGCAGTGGGTATACTTTACTCTTTCTCAAGGCAATAGCCTGTTATCTCCCTGCCAGCTGGCCAGTTAGCTGCTCACTTTGGAGTAGGCTCAGTGGGAAACTTGGAATGACTTGAGGCAGGATCATTGTTACCAATGGGAGAAAAAGTCTCAGAAGGGCAATAGATCAGAAGCATAATGTTCTACCAGAACAACAGCACTTTATGCAAATATTATTCAACAAACATGTAGCTGGTTTGGTAAGTGGGCTGGGCTCCAGGTAGGTGAGTAAAGGTGAGAAATGGAATCAAGAAACAGCTATTTTGGTTTGATTTTTACCCTCTGCCTTCAGGAACTATTGCTTTCCCATCCCTATAAACTCAGGTATTCTACAGGCAGATCATTTCCTGGTGAATTCCAGGTATTAAATGATCTCATCTTTAGTTATAAAACATCCAGGCCTTGTAAATTAACATTTTGTGTTTTTATCCAATCTGAAGCTTTGCTCCCCCTATATCGAGCCTGCCCTATGGCCTGGAGCAAGGAATGATGAGACCACCATGGTCTCTACTTTCCTTGCAATGGTCTCTACTCACCTACACTCAAGCCCTGCTTCAGGGACTCTCAGAGCAACAAGAGCAAAGAAGCTTTTACTTCAGTGGGAGTGTTGTAGTACTCTCCACTCAAGTGCCCTCTGACATGACAGCATTTTAAATTCAGAGACTTTGCAGGGGGCCCATTGGTGAGTTCTTGGGTTCTTCAGAGAGTCCCTGTGGATTGGTCTGGACTAGACCTTTCCCTGACACAGTGGTGCTGTCTCTCTCTGACCCCTCAGGATTCCTTTCAGCAACGGCCTTCCAGTGGTACATACCACAAAGCTTTTTTTTTTTTCTGCTGTGCCTCTAACCCCAGCCGACTGCCCCATTGGGCAGATTCCTCCCAAGGCTCCTCTAGTTTGGTTAATTCCCGGAGCTTCTGCTTGACGTACAAGATATTGATAGTAGATGTATAGCTTGCTCTCACTGCTGCCCCCTCTTTTTTCCCTCTGGTATTGCAACAGGGGAAGGAGTGAGCCAATCTCTACCTCAAAACCACTAAGGTCTCTCATAGAGTGGTTCTAATGACCCTCACTTATTTGTGTTGGGGTGGTGCAAGAAAAAAACACACAGCTCTTTCTGCTCCTAAAATTTCTTTAAAAAGTCTCTTGATAATCTTTGTAGATTTTCTTATATAGTCTGTATATAGGTAACAGTGTGTGGGGGACTAGGTGGGCGTGCTTTCAGTTGAAGGGCCCATGTGGATCTCTGAGTTGGTACTATGGAGATTTGTCAAAGGGCTCTCTCTTTACATTATATTGGCACTTAAAATTCATTGTCCTCAAATATGAGGCTCAGTAAAATTCCCCAGACAAAAGGAAAATTCCCAATTCAGCATCCTCTTAGTTGTGTGCATCTCCTACTATTTGTTAGGCATGTACTTTCCTGGTGCATAAAAAGACTGGTCACTAAATTCAGAGTTTAGTGGGGGAATTCACATACATGAATTAATGAAATGCTAATCTAAAGTAGTTAGTGCCAGGGAAAAAAGAAGTTCAGAAAAAGAAGAGATTGCTTCTGAAAATCTGGGGTTAGGAAAGAGACAGCAATGGAGAAAAAGGAGATATACTAAGGTTGGCTTCATGGAAGAGGTAAGCATTCACACCAAAATAGGAAGGATGGGTAGATTCCAAACATTTTTACTAAAAGAAGGGAATTCAAATAGGAGAAAACATCGTGAACAAGAGAGACCTGATAAATACGGAACATGAGTTTTTCAGTTTGACCACACCGTAGGGCATTTGAAAAGAAACATCAAAAGGTAAAACTTGAGATGTGAGTTGGGTGAGATCGCAGAATCGTGACTCCCGGGCTGAGAACTGTGGACATTCATCTGCAGATGCTCAGAGTCACTGGCAATTAAACAATCAATTTAAAATCATTTTCACCAAGGTCTCTGTGTTTCCAAGTTCCCAGTTATGGCTTTGACCTTAAGCTTGAGTTCGTATGAGATAAACACAATACCATTACATATTGAATTTATTTACTTGCTTATCTATACACACCCTGGCTTACTCCCACAAGATTTAAAGGCAAACAAAGGCACCTCATAAAACAAAAGTAGGTTTACAATTGTCTTGTGACATCCTTTGAGTGACATCCTTTAGTGAATAAAGCTATTGTAATAATGATAACCTGCATGTCTCTTCCCATACAAGCAATTGTAAACCTACTTTTGCCCACCCCTGTATATTAAGGGTAAAATTGAGGAGAGAAGTAAGATGAATTCAGGGAAGTCAATTAAGAAAATGCATGCCTTGAAGTTCATTTGATTGTCATAGGCCTAGAAGCCATCTTGAAAGGAATTTGTCCTTGCTACATCTTTGTTCTCTCCCATAAGACCCACTCAAATTAGATTTAAAAAATAGAGGAAGGGGAATGTTTCAGAATATAATTCTCACAGAAATCTGAGAACAGAAATTCAGAAGCATGTGGTCCTTGGAAGGGCTAGATCACTCAAGGCTGCTTTCTTTATTTCCAAGAGACCATCTTGTCTTTTTCTTCTTTCTATTCTTACTGTTTTCATCTCATTTCTACTCATTCACTCTGCAAATGACCCTAAATGGTAACCCTGCTGAATCTCCATAATCTTTCTCCTTGTCTTCCCACAGCTAATTAGCTTAGCTTCTAGGTATCTTATTTGCAAATCTCTTGAGAGAAAGTTTAGTGACCTAATTTGTGTCAGATGCCGACCTCTAAGACAGTCATTTTTATGAATGAAGATGGGTTCATGCAATCCAGGCCCGTCTAGGCCAGTCACTTCAGCATATGGGAGGAGGCAGTGTCCAGGAAAGGAAGCCGTAGGAGGGAATTCATGCAGTCCATATAAACATCTCTTTTATAAAGTCTACCAGGGCTTCAATGATGCCTAAAATTTTCTAGGTCTTGGTCCCCTTGGAGAATCTGAAGGAAAATATATATCTTTGCACTTTAAAAATTTCACGATGCACACTCAAAATTCTGCATGTAATTTAGGTGAGTTTGTGAGCCTCCTGCAACATGACTTACGTGACTTAAAAAGTCTATAATACAAAGTAAGCCAGCTATTTAGGGAAGCACACCTACACTATACCCAAAATGATGCTGAGCAATTAAAAACTGTACTTTGAGTATAGGAATTAAAACTTCTAAGTCCTCCCATACAGCAGAACCTGTGCCGGGTTCAGTCAGGTACAGAAAGTGGAATGAGACAGGCTGTCTTCCTTCAGGGAGCTCACAGTCTGCTGAGTGCATGTGTAAACAGCTTGATTTAATGCAAGACACCAGTGGCAATATGAGTAATGTCCTGTGGAAACTTAGAGGCAATGATTAATTGTAAATAAAATATAATATTCCACCAGTTTTCATTTCCTCTGCATGCAATCTGATAGCATACATCATCATCATTTTAAGGAAACCTGGACAATTCAGAAGTTTTTTCTGTCAACTGAAACCCAAGGTTGTTATCCAAGCTTGCACTTCAGGGCTCCTCATTCTATCATGCTTAATTCCTGGGGTCAATACCACTGCATTATGCTGCAGAGCAGAGAACACACAGGGCTTTAAAGCCCTTTATGCAATAGAAGACACCCACTTGTGTATTCCATTGAACTTCAAGCTCTTTGAGGGCAGATGAGAGTCCTTCTACTCTGCGTACCCCATAGCCTCTAGCCCAGCACCCTCCTGGGGAGATATTGCTTAAATTGGTAAAGGTAGAGCCTTAGTTATAGACCTTTAGGATAAGAGAGTTGGAAGGGCCTTTGAAGACATTTAGATATTCCAACACTTTCATTTTATATTGATATATGAGAAAGTGAGAGACTGGAGAGTTTAACATGATTAACCCAGAACACACGTTGAGCAAACTGAAAAACTACTTTAGAGTTTTCTCATCCCAAACTGGACATCCAGTCCCCACTGCCCTGCCCCGTGTTCATGAATGCAAACCTAACCACACACACTTTATTTTCTTCCTCATGAAAGGAAACCAGTGGTGAGTTATGAAATGGAACATATTGATAGTTATGAAGGCAAGAACTGAAACATGACTAAGATATAAACCTTTAAATGTGATGTCTCTAATTTCTGACCTTCCCTTGCTTCTTTCCTGCTCTGCCCTAAGAAGTACATTCCATTTTCATTAGCTTGTGAATGCATGGCTTCCAAGAAAAATGAAGATACTATAACATATTTTAATATTTTCATCTGGAAGCAAGATTTTTTTTAATGAACTCTTTTTCCTAAATAAGACTAATGTTCTCTAGCCATCCACCATTTACACACATTTCCAGGAAGGAGCAGAACATACCTCTAGCATTTATCCTGGTACACAGAAGTGCTCAGAGAACATTTGCTGAATGAACAGTAGAGTGAGTGCTTTTAAAATAATTTTTCCCAGAATCTGAAGATGAATCAGCTAGATGCTTTCTTACTCTCCTCGTCTTAACTCTCCACTTTCCCATCATCACTGAGAGGTAATAGCAATGCTAATTCGTGTGGAAGGCTATCTTCTTCTCTTACATACCATTTCTGGTCAGTCTGTAGAGAAAAATATTTGCATCATGCAATGTGGTAAATGTATTAATTACAGAACTTTGAATACATTACTTTTCATTTCTGAGGGTAAAACCAAAGCCTGGAGAAAGCAAAGCTTGATAGCATCGGATCTGTAACTGGACAATGTGCTTTCCAAGATGTAAATTCTTGATTCACGTGTGCTCAATCTGAGCCCTAAGGCAAGACTCACAACAGTGCATATCTCAATCTTTCATTCTCAACAATGAAACTGAAACGGGGAAAAATGCATTTGTCTTACAGTGAGTTCAACTCATGCCTACCCAAAGCTGGCTCCGTACCGACCAGCAGGACAGCTCCTCTCTCCGCCTTTGCTGCTCTCTGTCTTGTTGAATACCTGTTTCACCTGCATTGTGCAGATCTGTGCGTTTCTCTATGTGAAGCAGCAGCCCTGGTACTGTGAGGTCTACAGATACAGGTAACATTCATGTTCTTAGTTTTAATTTCTGAAGGTGACACAATGAGTACCCAGTGACATTGTACAACTGGGTTCGAACATATATCCTACAATTGTAATCAGTGAAAGTTATGTCTCCACGTTGCAAAACACCATTGGTGAGACAGAACACACAGCACATTTAATGGGTGGAGTCCTGGGGTGAGTCATGTAGCAGGGGAAGGAAAAGATTTTTACATTGACTGTTGAAGTATAGCTGTGACAGCTGGTTGACTGAATGAGTGTATTAATTCCCTGATGGCTTGGATATAACATATAGACCAAGGTGGGAAAACATTTCTTGTAGAGGGCCAGGCAGTGAATACTTTGGGCTTTGTGGACTAGATGGTCTCTGCTGCAACTACTCAACTCTGTGGTTGCAGTGAAAAGCAGCCACAGATACTGCACAAACAAGTGGGCATGACTGCACTCCACAAAACCTCACCTACAAAAGCAGTTGGTGAGTTGGATTTGGTCTGAGGCATTAAGTCAGCTGGCCCTTGATATATAAGAGGTTTGCTTAAATTAGTTTGGGTTTTTCAAGTGAATGTTAAAATTAAAATGTTAGTTGATGATGTCATTGTTCTGGCTGAACACGAGGCAAGTCTTTCCACCTCCCTGAGCTTGAATTTATTTAACTGTAGACTAAGGGTTAGATTAGGGGAACTGTGCCAATAGAGGTTTAAACATACTTTTTCTGACAAAGCCTGCCTGACCTCCAAAAAGAAAGGCAGGAAGAGAGCTGCTTTTTTTGTTATGTTTTGTTTTTGAAACTAGGCTGGTAGGCATCAAAGCTCTGGGACAGTGAAAGGCAGAATAAAAACTATCAAATGGTGTTTAAGATTGCCACTTAGACCCAAATGACATATTACTTGAAATATATGTATTACTTGAACTATATGTCATGTTTGTTCAAAACCAGATTTCCCTCAAGTTTCAGTGTATCTAGTCAGAGAAGTACAGGTCTAATTAAAGCTGGGAGGCAACACGGTACAGCCGGAAAGATGACAGATGGGTAGGCCTGCCTCTGTCACTAACGAGCTGTGTCACATTGGCCCCCAACTTCCTTATCTCAGTGTAAGTATGTTGCATTAGGTACTTTTTAGTATTAAACTCTATACTTCAGACCTCCTATTTATCCCTTTGTGCAAGGATGCTTTGTTAACTACTGATTGTTGCATGAATCTGTTAAGCAAACATTAACTGAACATCTCCTATATATAAAGCACATTTTGAAATGCAAGGGGGCTAAGAATAATAAGACTCAAGTCTTGCATTTGAGGTCACAATTGGAAAATAAAATTTATTTATAAACAATTATAATAGTAATAAAATGTTTCAAGCTGCATAAGAAAGCTGATGGAGACTGATTTGTGGGTTTGATATTGAAAAAAATAAACATTTCAAACAGGTCAACAAGAAAGCTGGGAAAGCTCTTAAATACTTTCTCTGAACAGATGATATGTGGCATCACTATAACGGATGCTAAGGATTTGTTATAGATCTATGTAAAACAAAAATAAATGAATAAAACCAAAAGAAAAAATCCACATGAAAGGAACTCTCATCCCAGGCTTGAAAAATAAAAACATATGAATGAATCCTTGCAGAATAATGAGCTAAGTGCAGCAATAAGAGGGAATAATGGCACACCGATTCTGCGGGGCAGCAGATGTAAAGACCTTTAAGACAGAGTGATGTTAGAAGGAGCAGTGGTGTGCAAATGGTGATATTTGGGGAACAGGGAATATTCCTATAGGTTTGGAATATAAGGAGTGTGGAAGGACTAGCAAAAGGTAAAGCTGGAAAGAGACATTGAGATGAGAGTCTGAAGGTCTTCTGGGCCTGCCTAAGAAGTTTGAACTTAATTTATTAGCAAATTAAAGCCACAGACACTCATAAGCAGGGGACATGTCATGCTCAGATCCTCGGGTAGAGCCTTCGGTTGTATGAGGCGAGTGGCTTAGAGTGGGCAGATTCAAAACGGGGAACCAAGTTGTGAGGCTTACATTAGTCCAAGAAAGAGAACACACACACACACACACACACACACACACACACACACACACACACACACACTTCATTTACTCTGAATTGGAAGGAATTCCATAGAAAATCCTTATTCGAGCTGTTTCAAAACAGATCGCTTGTTCTAAATGGAATTCTAGACAAAGAACAATCTTGACTTCCTCTAAATTTGATGTAGGCTTTGACATTGCAAGAGGTTTTTATCATGGTGGTTATTGGCTGGAAGAGTTTGAAAGCTGAGGTTCTGTGGTAGAGGTGAACTAGTTTTTTCCCACTAGCTGGATCAAAGTCAAATAAAAAGTCCCATACATGCTAGTAATTCTTTTGTAGTGAGTGCTTTCTGGACAACCAAAGTGATTTCTCAACAAATATGACTTTGGAAAGAAACTGGACTGGAAACGCAACTCTGGTTCCTGGTTCAATTTTAAGTTTCGAGAGTACCACACTGTGGCCCATTACCACCATCAACTGTATCACAGTGGCATTTATCTTTTCTAAGGGAAAGCCATTTCGAAAACCCATCTACACGAACTGTAAGTATATGAAGTTCACATTTTATTAAAAAGATTTTTTCCACTCCCCTCCCCAGAGTTGCAACTCACTGATGAGGTGATTGGCTGAGAGGGAGACAATTGCACTGATCTGAAATTGACAACTAAATGGCAATTTTCATAGGTGGCACAGCCCATGGCAGAAACCTGCTCATTTGCACATAAACACAAGCACTTTTGAATCACATGAGTCCCGCCCTATTGTGAATCATCAAGAAGGATTTTCAGCACCCACGTATAAGTCAAGATATTTTGTAAAAGGCTTTCCCACCAATTCAAATACAACTTGACCTTGTAATAGCCTTATAAGATTGAACAATTTACTTTAATCACTCTGTACATCTCTTTAATCACCAGTGAGGATGAGTATATTTTCATGTTATTAGTCATTTCTTTCTCTCTGAACTTTATTTACATTTTTACTCATTTTCAATTGGATTGCTGTTATATTTCTTATTTATTAGTATGAGCTCTTTATTCCTTTGTGATTTTCTCCACTGCCTTTTTGTACAACTTTTTCTCATTGTGAAATCAGATTATTGTGTATTAAGCTTTTTAAATTTGTTAATGTTTTTTGAAATCCAATATTAATTTTGGGGTATAATTTGAAGTAGAGATCAAACTAGTTTATCCAACTAGTCCCTAGTTTTCCCAACAGATTTTATTTTTTGATATTCTCTTTGGTCACTTATTTCTCAACTGAATGTAATACAGTCATTATCATACCTATATTCATATATATTTATGGTTTTCTCATATATAATTTATATTATGTAAGTTTTGATATTATGCTTATTATATTATATACTATATATTAATTTGTATGTAATTAATTTTTTCTGTACTATCTTTTCTCTTTCATTGATGTGCTAGCCTATTTTTGATCTAGCAGTCCCCTTTAAAAATTATAGTTTTATAATAAGCTTTGAAGAGTAGCAAGATTAGTGTGTCCTCATTACTCTTAATTTTTAAAAAAATTCTTACTTTTCTTTCTTATTCATTCTTTTAGATAAATGCTAGAAAAAATTGTCAAGCTTTTAAACAATCCCCTTTTCAAAAAAATGCATTTGTTTACACATTTTAGCCTTCACATTTAAGCATATGTCATGTCTTTCCCTTTATTCATGCTTTCTTTTATGTCTTGGTAAATATTTGTCATTTTTTGCACTATAGATCCTGCACATATATTTAAGAAGCTAATCCTATGTTTTTTATATTTATTTATATTGTGAATTACTTTTTCCCATTATATTTTCTAACTAATTATCATTAACACATGTGAAAGGTATAGTGTTAACATTTATTTTCTATTCAGAACTCTCTGAATTTTGCTATTAATCCTTGATGTTTGAGTGTTCTTAAAGATAATTATTATCATTTGCAAATAATAGTTTTTCTTTTCCCTTTCCCATAGCTAAAATGTTTATTTATAGTTTATTTATATTTCCTTAGTGTACAGTCCAGAATTTCCAGGACAATGTTAAATAACAGTGGTAATAGCAGACAGTTCTACTCTTTAATAAAAATGCTTTTAGTAGTTTTCATTTATAAATATAATTTTGAATATTGGTTCATCATCTAAAGAAAATACCCTCCTATTACTAATAAGTTAAAAGTATGTTTTAAAATCCAGATTGGGAGATGTATTTTATCAAATGCCTTCCAGTCCCCTACTAAGATGATTTTGCTTTTATCTCTCCTTGGACTTATTACTAGAATAGGTTATATAAATAAATTTATAATTAAATCATCTTCATATTCTCAAGCAAGCCCTACTTATTATGTGATGATACATAAATGAAGATAATGCAAAGATTATGATAGGCACCATATGAAACAAAAATTTGTAAGGGAGAATTGTGGAGTCTTTAAAAATAAAATAATATTTGAATTGGGCTTTTTTTTAAAAAAATTGCAACTTGCCAAGAGAGGAGGACTGTCATCTACACAGAGTGTTCTGTGGACAGAGGGCCAGGAGCTGGAGAGGGTGGGGTCTTTGTGGAAGCAGCAGGCATGTGATTTCACTTTTCTATGCACATAAGGAAGAGCGATGAGAAATCTGTTTAGAAAGGCTGACTGAATCCATGTTGTGGAAAGCCTTAGATGTCGATCAAAGAAGGATCCGTGGATTTATTCTGCAGACAGTGAAGAAGAATGAGGCAGGACCTAGAGGACTGTTTGTCCATGCGTGCACAACTCCATACACACATGGTGATAAAGCATCAGGGCCTCTCTGGCCACAATTTGCATGGGCTGGTCACTGCAGGATTTCCCGGCCCCCAGGACTCCTCGGTTGAAGTAGCTCCTTTATGGAGGTTACTATAATGCATTTATTAGCATATTTCTACACTTACACTTTTCAAGGAAAATCTTTAAGATATCACCTTTGTCTTGTAAGCATGAGAACATATTTTAAAGCACATGAAGATACATCAAAACATCTGAAGACGTATCCAGTATTTGCCCAACAGAGATAACTGATTCTGCAATGTGTGCCAAAAATATGCGAGACATTCCTCAGCATCTAAAAATAATGTTTGGTGTTTCTTCAGATGTGTTCTCATTTCTGCTGATATCTGCCTTCGGCCTCACAGTTTTCATTCTGTTTTCTGATTTTCAAAATATATACCAAGGAATGGAGGTAAGCAGTAATTCATTTGCACATCTGTTATGACTCGCATGCAATGGGACCATATTTACTCTGTAATTTGAAATTCTGTTACTGCCATAGTCTTTCTGACCACTGAATATTGTGAGGCTATTTCCATGTACTAGAAAAGCAAATAACATAGCTAGATCTCACATATGCTAGACTCTGATTGTTTTTGTATTATTAGTATTATCAGTTTGGTACATGTATCCTATTCACACCTGAAATATTATGTTTGGATACTTTATTCTTCTGTGTTAAACTAGTCTAATAACCTTTAGGTATTAATACTATAATTATTTCTTCAAGTTAAAATTTAAAATATATAGTAGAAATCCTTCATAATGTAGTTGTGAGGAATATTTTTCTGTCTGTCAGATATTAGCTGTAGAGAGTTTTATTTCAGTGGACAACGCTTGATACATGGTGCAGTGGGTTAAAATTAAATTTATGAAGAGGTTAGTGAACTTGTCCTTTGACCCAGTGTTGTGGGAGATACAGAAAAGGTTTGACCCTTGACTCACTGTGACCTGATCTACTGAGCCCCTCAGACCACCCTCAAGCCCAGTGTGCTCTATTTCACAATCCAGGGAAGGGCTGTCTCCATCTGGGGGCGGAAATAACAAACTGTTACTTTGAAATAACTCCTATCAGAATAGAGATGAGAATTAAAAGTGAGCATTTAGACAGTGTGGAGGATCTATGCTTTCATTGGAAAGGCAGCTCCGTCCTTTACACAGTCATCCACAGTCTACCATGTAGGGTCAGAAACGGGGCTGTGCAGCTCTTGTGCGTGCGTGCGTGTGTGTGTGTGTGTGTGTGTGTGTGTGTGTTGTGGATGCAGCGATGGGAAGGGAGTTGTAGCTCCCACCCTCATTAATAAGTCTAGTTGGTGGTCAATATGCAGTATGTGCCCCTTAATAATTAAAAGAAGGTGGCTTGCATGGGTTTGACTCTCACCAAGCCATCGGATTTAGGGCTGGGAAGGTTTGTTCAGGAAAAGTTTCCTTTGTTTCAATCAAAATAAACTTGAACTTTTGTGCCCCTTTATGTTTACTCATAGGTTAATTTTACTGAAAGAATGAATTCCAATTAGATTTTGCTTTGGGAGAATTAGAAGTAATAATACTATTAGATGAATGATTTAAACTTATACCCACTTCCCTCTATCTAAAAAGATAAAAATGGAGAGAGACACACAGGCTCCCTCATGTCCCGTCTCCTGTCTGCAACCCGAGGCACAGTCACTCAATGTCTATCACCAGGCAAGGGCGGGAGCACAGGACAAGAGACAGCCAGTTCTCGTTTGAATTCTGGCTCTGCCTCCTGTCTGTTGGCTCTGAGCCCTTGGCCCAGGTACCGACCTTCTCATCTGGAAAGTGGTGAAAATAATGCCTACCCTCCAAGCTCAGAGTTGTTACACATATATGAAATAAATGATATGATTTTTCAAAGTGTAAGATATGGAAAGTATAACAATAATATTTCCTTTTCCACAGTTCATTCCGACCATAACATCATGGAGGGTTTCAGTTTTGGTGGCGGCCCTCACCCAGTTCTGTGTGGCCTTCTTTGTGGAGGTAAAGTGATTTCTGTGCGGTTCCTGCTCTTTTGCTGGGAAGCTAAACAAATGAAGGGTCTCATTTTCCACAGAGGCTCATTTTTCAGGGCACTTCTGTCCCCAACAGTGATAGTTATTAAGGGTTTATATAAACTTGTACATGTGTACCCTATGGGGGAAATGCTTTGGAAAATGATTTAAAATTCTTTGAAGGCTGCACAAAAATGCTCTCAGTATCTGTAGCATAGAAAGCAAAACATCGAATTAACTCTAACTTTGCCTCACGTGGAAGCACTGTATTGTACATGTCTAGTGTTCTCAATACTCTCCCAGAGACTAGACCAGGTGACCTTCCAGCTCTCAAGTCCAGTGAGACCATTTAAAGTGAAGGGCTGTCTTCAGAAGGGCTTCCTTAATTACGAGACAGGAAGTCATTGTTCCTTCTAGTCAGTGCTTACCCTTCAGGGTCTTTTCCCTTCATTTCTCTTCCACATAGCGTACTACATTTCTTTACCTACTCAGTGAAAGCTGCAGGTACTATTTTTTTAAAGGATAGTTTTCTTAAAAAAAAAGATTCATGTATTATAAGTCTGTTGAGAAAGATTATCAACCAATTAAAAAAAAATATATATATATACACACACAAATATTCCATTGAAAACAGTCAGTAAAACTGAGGTATTTTATTTTTGAGTCTATATTTTTAATAAAACCAAAATAAGAGAAAAAACTTGCATGTATGAAGGTATCGTAGTATTACTGACAGTGGTAAATTATTACACTCAGGTGTTCAAAAGTAAAGATGCTGTTTCTTTAAATAGTTGTACAGCAATTTGAAGAAATGTTACACAATCACTAAAAAGGACTATCACTGTATTGAAAGTCTAGTATAAAAAATGGGAAGCAAAATTTGACCAATTCTATTATACATGTGTAAAAAGTATGTGTGCATGAACATAGAAAAAAGAGAGCCTGGAAATGGAAATCAAAACCTGTTTAATTGCTGGAATTTGTCTATTCATTCAACAAACATTTACTTGGCACTTTCTATGTGGCATGTGGCAGGTAGCAGTGGTTTTTCTTCTTTTCTTGATTTTGAGCTCATTGAGTACACTAATTATCATTTCAGTCTGGCAGTGAAATAATCCTAAATGGATTATCATCAGCCAGGATTTAGCTAGGAGTCTGTGGAAATGACAGGCTGTATGTATGCTTTGAGCAGATTTCTGTGAACACAAGTACACTCTTGCTTCTCAAGGGAAAGAGGGGAGCTGTTAGGCTTCACGGGGAATGAAGGGAGGAGAAGTTTCCCCAGCAGCAGCAGCAGCAGCAGCAGCAGCAGCAGCAGCAATAAGCACATCTCAGGGGAGGGCCTGGGGGAACAGCATGTGGTGCTGGCAACCAGGCAGCAGGGGAAGTGGATGATGGTTTGTTTTTCCCACCTGATTTTCCAGGATGCCATCCTTCAAAATCGAGAGCTCTGGCTATTGATCAAAAAACAATTTGGATTCTATTCGAAAAGTCAATATAGGAACTGGCAAAAGAAGTTGGCAGAAGACCCTACGTGGCCTCCCACGAACAGGACGGATTATTCGGGCGATGGCCAGAATGGATTCTACATCAACCGAGGCTATGAGAGCCCTGAAGAGATTCTGAAGGGAAAACCCAACTGGAGAGGCCAAGGCACAGAACAGCATTTTTGGACCAGATTGTAACAGAACTGTGGCTGCGCATGTTTAACAGCACCCCCTTCTCCCCCAGAAACTAAAGTACTGTGGAGAGGCGATACTATTCTACCCTTTTCTTTTCTCTCTCCAGCTGAGGGCTCAAAGCACATTTTTCAGTGTATTGAGCTTTGCAACAAAGGACCTTAAGTATGCCTATCTTCTACTATTGAGGGAAAAAATACATTGCCTGGATTATCATTTTTTCATAAACTTTATTCACATTACATAGCATTATCCTGGTTAAAATGTATACCTTGTCACTGCAGTGAAACTAATAGTATGAACAGCAATAAAAGGAAAATTGAAGAAGAATTTTGGCATTGAAAGTTTCACAAATATATTTTTTATTTTCACCCACAGGAATAGAAGAATTTGGAAAAAATACCCTTTTCTCAGTAAATGCCACAAATTTACTCAACTTTATATTCCCTTGTGAAGAACATTCATGCAAATGTTTTTCCAAGGTCGCTAAATTCCTTTTTTTTTTTTTTTTGGCTCCCTTTGTTCAGTTGTAAGAAAGAACCAAGAATTGACATTGACTTGAGAGAATCCAGCTCTCCCTGTGGTGAGCTGGAGCCGTGTGGGAGTGGGGAATGATGGAGGCTTCTGTTGTCCACGTGCAACTGCGCTTGGGCACCGCAGGTAGCGTCTAAGCAAACTCCACCGAAGATGGCATCTCCCAGAGCTTGTTTTGGGGCCAATGGGCTAGGTTCAGAGTAGGTCACATAGGCAATAAACTAAACTGTTGGACTGTACTTCTAATTTAAAGAAGTGCAGCACCTTCATTTACTAACTGACAGGTGAAATACTGAGGTTTGTTTGTTTGTTTGTTTTACTCTAGAAGTTGGGCCACACTCTGCCTCGCTTATCTTAAAAAACAATCATAGGCATGGGAGCCATAATATCTGTATCTAAAGTGTGACAATTATTAGGCTACTAAACAATCTTAAGTCTCATTCTATGTTTCCATTATCTAAATCAATTACTAGATGCACATTAACAACCATAAGAGAGAGTACACCCTTTGTAAATAGACTGTGGACACTATAGCCTTTAGTATGCATCAGTCCCATTGTGACCATGACAGGGCATTTATTCCTAGTGAACATTTTATATCCTCTATTAGGCTTTACTTGTAAGAGTGAATCTAATTTTGCTAACTTAAAGATCTTCAACAGTCCATAGGCAATTATGTAACCAGTCTTATTCTGTGAGTGTCAGTTATGTGCCTGACACTGGTGTATGGATTCAGTAATGCACTTTGTTACACAAACCAGCAGCACAAATGCAAATTTCTATAAAAACAAACTCTCTCTATTTATATTTTATTTGCTTTTAGCCTTTGGTGCACAGTTCTTGGAGAATGATAATTTTCAAAATGTGTCTAATTCAGTAGCTACTAATAAAGGATGAAAGGGTAAAAAGATATTTAGCTTACAGTTAAGTAATGTTATGTCAACATATAAATATGGTAACTCAGTTTCGTGAGCAACATGTCATGTCTGTATTTAGTAATTCAACCTTTAAAGCAAGAAGAGTCAATTGATACACTGTGGCATTTAGATAGCATAACAATGTTTTTTTAAAATCCTGATTTAATAAATATACACCTTTTTCGTTTGCCCCAATTTTTCCAACAACCTGTTTGGTATCTGATAAGTGAAAAATCTTTATTTCACACATCTTTGTGGAGGTGGAACTGATAAAGTCGAACTCTATACTAACTTTGCTAAAAATATGCTCAGAGGAAGGCTTCCTAGTCTTGGGAAAAGGCCTAATAGAAGCACAATGAGCAAGGCCACACACCAATGATCACCTCTGGGAAAAGCCGACTTTTCACTCTGAGCTGCTCATCAGCAAGAGTGGCCATTTTTAGGGGAACACTGGTGACTAGCTTTGTGGGCTTACCTTTAAGGGTGAAAATTACTGGAGTCTTGAACAGTATGTAAAAAATTAATCCATGAATGTAACATAAAAGTGCATTATGCCATTTTCTAGCACAGCGAGGACTGTCATCTGGAGTGGAGAAGTCCAGAGTTCTTTAGAAAGATTTGACTTGAGAATTCTCAGAAGGTCTGACCTCAAACCTGCCCCCACCCCCATGCACTGTGATTCCTCTGCAGGTACCTTTATTAAAAGGTACACATGCTTTGGGAAAAGTAACACCTAAACTGCCACCAATCTCACCCTAATTTGACAATATTAGCAAAGTGCTCGTTTTCTTCTCAAACTATTGCTGGAGAGCAAGATATAAAAGAAACAGGAAACTAAATCTAGAATAAAAATGAAGGGGCATTATTGGGTCATGGTGTCTGGTAGGAGACACCCATTCCTCCCCAGAGGTCCAGGGAAGGAAGAGAGAGTTTGGGGTCATCTGGGGGCAGAGTTGGCACCACGAGAAAGGGAAGCGGTAAGTCAGGGACCCAGGAGGGAAGAGAGATAAGGTCTCTCCTGACGCTGACTGCAGTATATGGCCCCTTCTGTTACCTCTGTTCTTAACCCTGCAATTACACTGTGAAGTATTTTTGGCCCTGGGTAAAATCTGAATCAGTTTAATAGGTCCACGTCTTTCTTTGAGTCTTCTGTTCAATCATTTTATCTACCATATTCCCAGCTCCCTCATTGCATACCCTCCTCAATATTTACCTGAACATTTTTTATGTAATGCTTATGCTTTTAATGATGTCACAGAAAGCATGTCATTGGCTGTTAGTGTGTTATAATGTCTGATAAAGTCTTAGGGCATAGAGACCACAATCATTTTTCCCCACCTGCTGTCGACAACAATTCCACTGGAACGGCACTAAAAAGCAGTTTGTTTCATTCAACACATGATCAATAAAATGCAAGAATAAAATCACAACTCTCCTTGACTTCCAGTAAAAGCCTTAAAAAGTAATATGGGATATGATTTTCTAAAATTGGCACCTGAAACCTACTTTAATGTCTTTCTAAGGTTAAAACCTTTGAAATACTTCAAAAGCCAAAGGAAACAATGTGGGTAACAGTCCATTCTTGCTTGTCAGGGACTTTTCTGATAAGTGGGTAGTTTCTGAGAAAGTCACTGGATCTGAAACACTGGAGCCAAGAGCCCCCTCCCTCTCAGCCCTCCCCACTGCCCCTGGGCACAGGAGCAAGGGCATGGGCATCCACCCTCAAAAGGCTTCTTAAGCCAACTTCTCCAAACTGCCTAACCAAATGCCGAATTTCCCAATTTCTTTGCTGGCCAGGAGTATGAATTTAGATGTCAACCCTAACCATTTGGAGCTCTTATCTTTTTTTTTTCAAAATCACATATAATCTTCTCTTCTTCCCTCTGGCAAATACAAAATAGCCACCCTCAGGGAAAAGGAAAATAATATTTATAGTAAAAGATAAGGTAATGTGATTTTGTTAAGATCCTCTGCTGGCTCACTCTAAAGGCTACTGCTTCTTGTTCAGGCTGCCACAGAAAATCTACGCTAGCAGGGAGCAGAATTTCCTTGGCTCAGTGATGAGATAATACCACTAAGCAATTTATTAAAGTATTAAAGAACTCGCCATCCATCATTGGGGTTTGAAACAATAATGATACATTGAAAATAAGCATTCCTCCCAGGTTTTCCTTTTCCCCTCCTCACAAATTCCTTCAGTTCCAATACCTCTTCAGTAAACTGTTAACAGTATTTCGCTTTTTGTCTCTTTGAGAACAAGCCCAGGAATGAGAAGGCACTGGCGGCGGCTGTCACAAACCCAATGGTGCTTATTGCTCTGTTGGCCTGTGAAGAGACAAGCAAGCAAGACACACATTTCATTCCAAAGGCATCTCGGTCTCCTAACCCCACGGTTTAGGTTGTTCCTTAAACTGAGGACCCATCTTACTGTACAACAAATACATTTAAAATTCAGTGTTAGATTTGGATTTTACAGGAAGATGAAATAAATGTATAATTTTTATAATGATGACAAAGATAAAGATGAATACACATGGGTATACATATGTATGCATATACATACTCCTCATATTTTTATAGTCCCTGCCCCTTAACAAACTCACTATCACAGTCCCTACTAATCATCACAGTGCACCTGCCAGGCAGTATTTCTCCTGTTTTGTGAAAGTTGAAGAGTTAACAGCGATTTGCCCAAGGTCGTGAGGCTGGAATGTTTAGCTATCGGTTAAGTCTTGAACCACATTTTCACCCTCTACACCCCCCTACCTGCTCCCCACACATGGGTTTGGTTGCGTCTATACCAGGGTGAGTACTGGGTGTGTGTGTGTGTGTGTGTGTGTGTGTGTGTTTTCCCTGACACAAGAATGTCTGTTAGCAAATAATTCAGGGATGTGATCTGAGCCAAATACCTGTAAGCTCTTATTGGGTAGATACAATCCGCATTCTGAGAAACTTGAAAAGAAGTCAATACTGATGTTAATTATCGTGTCAAAAATTAATTTCTCATGTAGACAAACGAGTATAAACCACTCTCAAGCTCAATTGTCCATAAAAGAGTTCAGACATTTATAGGTTTAAGGGTATTAATCATCATGATGATGAGAGATCTAATGAATATTCATGGTTTTCATGGTATTCAACTGATATTGCCTTCCATCTTCATGGGCTGGAGTGTAATTTTATCACCTGATACTTCAGTGTCAGGTGTTCTGAAAACAACAGTTGTTCTCTGGAATTCGGGAATCAGGCTCTCCAACAGAGCAAAACATTTTCCACAAATTAGCCTGGAGACTGGCCCCAGTGCTGGAAAACCTGGCCCAGCCCACACTTGGGCAGCCGTCTGTCTAACCCCCAGGCTTCCCGCACCGAGCCTGCCACCCCCGCCTCATTGCTGCAGGCTGCCTCCCTAACCGAAGCTTCCCTGTTGGCAGCAGGCAGAAGGAGCCATGGCAGGGAAAGAAGGGCAACGACAGGAGTGTTCACTCCAGGCCACCGCCCTGTGGTCTGCAGGGACAACGCCCGCGTCTGGAACTCCCGGCCCCGCCACCTTCCCCAGTCTCCAGGGAGAATGGCACTGGGGAACAACTGACAATCCCTGTTTTAGTTTACAATTGTAATTTTATCTGTTTGGTTGGTTGTTTAATGTATTTGTAATGTTTAATTGGTCACTAAGTTGTTTCCCAGGAGAGTCAGAATTCACCACAGCATAGAGCTACCAGCAATAGTACACAGGGTGCAAAGAGACGCAGGCAGATACAGGACACAGGACACACTTCCAAAGACAGGCAGAATCAATAATCACACAGGGGTCAAAGATTGCAAGTCAGGCCCAACCTTCACACGATTCCAGGCAGATGCTGAGGGCATGCCCTGAAGGCATGATGCAGGGAAGTGTGCCAGGCAGCTGGCAAAACAGGAAGGGCAGTTGGTGTCTTCAAACAGAGGTGTCAAATGGCAGCCAGGGTCCAGCCCTGGAAAAACTCAGCGTCCTGTGAATGGGTGGGTGGAGGGGATGGAAGTGGCACCCAGCTAGGTGCAGACCTAATAAACTGGGTATTTTTCAGTCACTTAGAAACACAAAGTGTGAGAGAAATCCCATAAGCCTGAGAGGCCGGGGAACAAGACAGGCAACCTGATCCTACACCCTAGAGTGCACAGTCCAGATACAATAATAATAAAGCCACTTCTGGCAGAGTGTGCACTTTCTCAAATCCCAAATGCTTATTTCAAGTTGCATTCTAGATGGTAAAACCCCAAGCAGTTTGAACAATCCCTTGGAGTTGTAAGTAATGGGATCTGACCTGCGAGATTATAGCATCCAGGGCTGTCTCGGTGAATCAGCGTGAACAAAGCTTTTCCTTTATGGCTTACATAGGATTATAAAAATCACCAAATCTGGCTGGCTGTGGGACACAGCAAAGTCTTCACTCTGGGGATCTATCTATACATGCACAACGAACCAGCCTCTCCAGGCTCTCCCCCCGCCCCGCCCCCCCACCCCCCCCACCCTCCCCCCACCCCCGGATATTCTCAGGCTTCAGTGCTAGGCAATGCAGCACAGTCAGGCTGTGCTGTGTGTCGCATTGCCCAGGCTTATCCAAGGGTCCTGCCGTCTTCCACGAAGAGAGATACACTTTAACAACTTATTCAGGCACAATAGTGAGACATGTTGATTTTAGAAAATTTTAAAAAGTATATAGAAAAAACAAGCCACAGGCCAAGAGAAAACACTTGCAAAAGACAAATCTGATAAAGACTGTTATCCAAAATATGCAAAGAACTCTTAAAACTCAACAATAAGAAAACAAGAAAGCAACTTGATTAAAAATGGGCAAAAGATCTCAAATGACACATCACCAAATATGATATGCAGATGGAAAATAAGCATATGAAAAGAAGCCCAACACCACAGGTATTTGGGCAATTGCAAATGAAGACAAGAAACCAACATGCACCTATCAGAATGGCTAAATTGCAAACCACCAAATGCTGGTGAGAAGGTGGAGCGACAGGAACTCTCAGTCACTGATGATGGGAATGCAAAATGGGACAGCCCATTTGGAAGGCAATTTGGTGGTTTCTTATAAAACTAAACATACTCATACCAGACCATCCAGCAATCACACTCCTTAGTATTTACCCCAAAGAGCTGAAAACTTTCATTCACACAAAAACCTGCACAAATGTTTATAGCAACTTTATTCATCATTGCCAAAACTTGGAAGCAACCAAAACACCCACCAGTAGGTGAATGTACATCTGGACAATGGGCTATCACTCAGTGATAAAGAGAAATGTGCTAGCAAGCCATGGAAAGATATGAAGGACTTTAAAATGTGTATTTCTTAGTATAAGAAATGACATTCTGGAAAACTATATGACATCCTGGAAAAGGTAAAACTATGGCAACAGTAAACAGACCAGTGGGTAAGGGGAAGAGAGGGTGAACTGGCCTAGGGCATAGAGGATTTTTGGGACAGTGAAAACAACTCTGTATGATACAGTAACGGCACATTTGCCGAACCACATGGAATGTGCAACAGAAAAACTGAACCCTAATGTAAATTATTTTTATGGGAGGAAAAATACTTTCTCTACGCACCTTAGGTTCTCACATGAGCCTCTGCAACAAAAGACAGGCTAACAAGAAAAAAAGCACAGAAGTTTATTAACATACACATCTCAGGGAAGAGTAACTCGACGATGTGGCTTAGAATTCAGGCTTTACAGCATTTTCAACAAAGAGCAGGTGGTTGTAGGGAAATGATAGGACAAAGGAAAGTGGTTGTAGGCTTCTGAGGACAGCAAACTGTAGGAAAGCAAGTATATAGGAAACTAATGGCAGACAGAGCCTCGTCAGTCGAGTTTGTTATTATTCCTCTGCTGCCCTCACCAAGCTGGGGAGTGTCTCACCTTAACCCCAGGCTGTCCCCAGGGATTAAATTTTGTCCCTCCTGGTAGAGAGAGGAGGGAAACCTGTGAAAATGCAGGTCTCAAATTTCAGGCACTTTCAGGCAGATAGAGGGCAAGAAGCTTTTTTGTCTCTGCTTCTTCTCAATGTCTTCAGCTCAAAATAATCTTCACGTCTAAGTGATATGTTTTGAGCTAACACATCCTGGTTTCTTTCACTATGGACTTTAAGTGATGATGACGCACTGATGTTGTTGATCTTTGGTGACAAACATACCACACAGATGAGGGGCATAGACAGTGGGGAAGGCCATGCATGTGTGGTGGGGATGGAGATACAGGAACGCTGTACTCTGAGCTCAATTTTGCTGTGCATCTAAAACTACTCTAAAAAATAATGTTTGTTAAATTTTTAAAAATACAGAAAAGCACGAAGAAGAAAAAGAGAGAGCAACAATACCACCTTTTTCATTTTAAAAAATGCATTCACAGTCCTTTTTTAATTGGAGGAAATACATAGCTATTTCCCAGGAGAACTGTTCCAAGCTCAAGACCCCTAAGCCTTAAGGGAACCTAAAAAACTAATCTATGCCAGCTATTACTAGTAGCAATACTATTAATTATTGACAGTAATAAAAATAATAATTAAAGTGCTATATTTCCTGTTAGATCAACAGAGGTTTTTATTAAAGAGTGCCAACAGAGATCTATAAAATTCCTAAAATAGTGCCATTAAGAATAATATCCAGGGTTTATTAGGATGGATAATATGTAATACAGAATGATAAGGGATTTCAAATATCTCCTGTAATTTACAAAACAACTTCAGTTTATAAATTAGGAAACTGATAAACAATGTGCCCAAAATCACCCAGCTAGTAAGTGGGGAAGATGGAGTTCTACCCCAGGTCAGCCGAATTCCAAAGCTTAGGTGGGTTCTTAGGGCTCTCACTGCACACTCGTCATCAGGACCTGCTAGGGAGCCATTCTACTAGTTGCTGAGGGATGATGAATTTTTATCGCTCTTGATTCTGGGTATGAAAAGTGAAAAGATGATGGATTGCAAGTGAGAGTCAAAGCAAGATGATGACTCTAATTCTTTTTCATTTAGACATATTTTTTAAAAAATGGCTCAATGAGTGCAGTGGAATTGTACCATTTAACAACAGAAAAAAATGGACTCAATTTCTAGCCATACCACTAGTTTCCAAAGCAAACATGAGCAGAAATTTGTGTGTATGTATTCTGTGTTCTGGCCCAGAAGCAATTTATTGTTCCATGTGGGTAGTACATTCATTATGTTAATGCATTTCCTAATAAAAATTAATTTCCAATTAAACCATTTCCTAATGAAAACAAATGTATCCTTTTATTATGTTTCATCTCCCATTTTCCTAAGCTTCCATGAGAAGAATTGTAACCTCATTCCTTAGAATAGATGTTTATATAACTGATCCACCATTTCAAGATACGGGAAGCCTTTACATGTTCATTTTCTTACACCACTTTAAAAATCTTTAGGTTAAAATATCAACGATGGAATTGAATTGGTGGGATAACAGGTAGGGAAAAAGCAACTGACTCCAGCATGCTTTTAGTCACAAATCTGCCACACTACAAAACAGTGGAGGTAAATGACAAAGTTGCAAGCTACTTCAAAAATAAGGTCAATTACTCCATTAAAAATAATCCAAAATTTCAATGAATCAACTTAAAAGCACAAAATTTCTTTGAAACTAGCACTGTGAGTCAACAGAAAACATTTACAAACCCATCAAGATATGTCATCTGCTGGCCTCTGTCAGCCAATGAGAAAGAGCGTTAGAATTACCGTCTGTTTTTGGCAAATGAACTCCCACGCAAAACGGTCAACAATCTTTTCAGCACATGTTTTCAGTATATAAGGTCACCGATTTAAGACTGTTGTATGGTGGGATAACGAGGGGAAAAAAATTGAAGGACAGAAGACAACAAACTAGCAGAAAGCTATGGTCCTGGTTCTGCTTTAAGTCCCTTCTACTCCAAATTTATGATATTAACATTCTATTCTCAGTTTGACCATCAACCTGCTGCATGACCTTGAACAACTCAATTCCCTTTTTTGTCTTTCAGTGTTCTCGTATTTTCTTGTTCTTGTCATTTTGCGTGAGGCCTGGGAACCTTCTCACAGTCAATATTCTTTTCCCAATGTAAGGAACTCCTTACATGTATCTCTCGCAAAGAAAACTCACCTGCTCTGAAACTCCTTCTCCATAGCGAAGCAAAGTCACAAAATGCTCACAGTTGTTGACCAGTACGTCGTATTCCACCTCCTGTCCAATAACAAACTCTGACCGTTGCATGACTTCTTCCGTGGGGAGAGGGGAGTATGCTTCATCATATTTATTGTTTATTCTATATGTGTCATTTCCCACAACATCCTTCAACAGCTGCATCTTCACCAGGGCCTTCCTACTGAAGACAGACTTGGCGCTTGTAAATGATGCAGGAATGCCATCCTCTATAAAGAGAATTCTGGTTAGCAAGCTACAGTGGCCCAGGGGACTCCACACCATCTAAAGACTGAAAGTGCTGGGATAACTAAAGCCAGCTCTGTTCCAAATGTATCATCAAACCAGAAATCACTGAATCTTACCAGTTTAAGATTTGTTCATCTTACGCACTCATTGTAACTTAACAACACACTTATTCACTACTGTAGGAGTAGAGTGCAAGAAAACTTTGGAAAATTTAAATCTTCCCAAGAGCAAATTGGGTGAGAAAACCGTATCCCCTTTTGAGCGAAAAGTTCTCTCTCAATTGGTATTATTACTAGAGATCTTGGTATATGTTTCTAACACAGTACAGATGGGATCATTATCCACATTTTCTACACAGCAGTCTCTTTCTCAGCATGCGAGCCCTTCCCAACTAATCCTGTGGGCTTTAGCAGTAGTGCATTGTGATTAGTAGAGCTGTCCTAGCGTCTAAGCCGCATTCCTTACCCCCGCCCCCCGACTTTTTCCACTTACTCTTTCAACTAGGCTTCCATTTGGGTCCAATTTGCAATCTGCACAATACCTCACTCCTCTGAGGGGTCAGCTGGGGTCAGACGGAGTCACCGCTTTTGTTTCTTTGGCCAAGACACTAAGTCTTGGTCCTGAACCTGAGCCTAACCTAACATGCACTGTCCGCTACACGTGGCCTCGTGCTGCGGCTCACCTGCCTGTTAGAAGGCCCCATGCCCCGTCACTCTGTCTTAGCTGCCTTTGTGGGTAAGCATTTGCCTGGACTGCCAGGGACCTCTGGATCCTGACCTGTCACAGTTGGCGTCTGAGGCTGGACAGACAACTCCTCAGTGTCGCTCCAACTCCAGGCTCCAGTCCCTCTCCATCTGTCCAAGACTGCCATTTTTCCAATAAATCATGAGAGGAAGGGTCTCTACATACCTAGTGTTGAGACACTTTTCCTTTCAGTAATGATTGAAAGCGAACCTTCTTTCCCACTCCTCTTTTGTTTTATCTGCCGAGGTCCTATTCATTGGAGCAGCATTTCCAAAGCTCACACATCGAAAGTTCTTACACAAGACAAGTTCTTTGATCACATATATCCTAGTTAGAATTATTGAACTTTTTTTTTTACTATTCTGATATAATCAATTTGGAGATGAGGAGATTGAAGCTTGGGGAGGTAAACTGACTTGCAAAATATCGCATGAGTAGTTAACAGCAGAAACAGGAATTAAATTCCAGCCTACAGAATCATAGCTCAGTGACTGGACCACATTAATATGAAACTTACAACATGAAAATAGGGAAACAGCGCCAAAATCTCATATTATTTTCCAGATATGAAAGTTGCAGGGATAACGCAGAGAGCTAAGTGTTAATCACTAGGCTCTGCAGAAACTACCAGCTATGTATCATGAATGTCATTTTATTTGTTATTTCCATTTTCAATATCTTAGAAGAAGAAACTATCTCAAAATATTGCTAAAATTGCTTCATTAAAAGTTCTCAAGATAGTAAGATTTGGGCCTATAAACAGTTCTTCTTATAGGTACCCTGAGGGGGGAAATACTCCAGGCTATTTATCTGTATATACTTTTCTTAATAAATTGTGCTCATTTCTAAACATTTAGAAAGTACAGAAAAATACAGCATAAACACATAAATATAAATCATCCCGCATCTTGCCACCCAGAAATGACTACGATTATTTTAATGTACTTCTATTATTTCTTCTATTAACATACTTATAGGTGCATGCATGTATGTGTATATATTCTTTTTTCTAGTAAACTGAGTTTTATCGTATGTTGCATGGAATTTTCAAATAAATATCATACAAGGATCATCACTTATGCAATTAAACATGTCCAGAAATGTGGTCTTTAGTGGCTATTGTTTTTTTCTATCTAGCGCCTCATCTCATTACTGCCTCTCTTTTCTGAAAAGACTCTCTCTAGGGCAGTGAGTATCCCATTCTCCTGAGCATAGTGATGGTTCAGCAGTGGGTATGGGGCCCAGACTGGAGGAATTAGAGTTTCTAACTGCAACATGCAAGGATTTGCTATCTCCTCTGTTGAGTCACAGGATTAGAAGAATAAGGGCCTAACGTTGCTGAGGGTCATCAGTTCAGCTTCTGAGAGAGATGGAGCCTAGGGAAATGAGGACGACAGACAGAGCAAAGTACAGATGTGAGAGAGAGGGTCTTACAGTGTTCAAACTTCTCAATCGAGGCACCCCTGAGGCCAGCACCATCTGTCCCTTTTCTGTAGTTTTCCTTAGTGAAACAATTAGTGATCTTTTTGTTTAAGCTCATTTGAGTTGATTACTATTACTTGCAGCTGAAGAATCTTGCTAAACACAGATGTCTAATATTTTGTTGTTAAATAATCATTTGTTTACCATTCCACTGTTGAACATGAAGCCATTATCTGTTTTTCAAACCATTATATATGAGATAGATGTGAACACCCTGACACAGGAATGCCAGTCAACAACCCTTAAATCTCTCTCAAGAACAGATTTGCCAAAGTCCAGCGGCAGGCTCAGGGCCTGTCAGCTCTTTTAAGACTCTTAACACATATTATTAAATTGTTTTTGTGAATCATTTTATCGACATATTTATATCAAGAATATCTTTGTATTCATTTCATTATGCCCTTATCAACAATGATTGCTACCATTTTTTTAACTTTTGCTAATGCGACAGGCATAAAATCTGTCATTTTATTTGACAATTCTTAGATGACAAAAAAGCTAAAACAAGTATTGGCTTTTGCTTTCTTCTCCTACAAACTGTTCTGTAACTGTTTGCCTATTTGTTTTTGAAGGATTTGGGTGTTTACTATCCACTTGGCCAGAGAAACTCTTTCCCAAATATCATCTGTCTGGTTTTCTCATCTCAAGTTGTTTCTCAAATGTTACTTTCTTAAGAGATTTTCCCAACCACCTCATTTAAAAATACAGAACCACCTAGCACTTCTTATCCTGCTTCTATGATTTATTTTCTCCACATTACTTATTTACTTATCTTTATTCTAATATTGTTCTCTGTGTTCTCTCTCTCTCTCACTCACTCTACCACCCCACCCCCCACACACACAAATAGAACGTAAGTCCCACCACACTGGGAGAGGTTTACGTGCCCCCAGCATCTAGAAAAGCATTTGGCACATACTCAGTAATCTATAAATAAATGTTGAATGAATTGAAATAAACAATTTGTGTGGTATATGAAAACATTGACTGTTGTCATGTTTGGGGCAATTACTGTTCCCAGCTGATTCTTTACTTTTTAGTGGTGCTTTCTTTTTTAAACCAGAAGTTTTAAATTTTTATGCTAATTAGCCTTTGTGATCTCTTCAATGTCATTTTGGTCTTAAAATGGTCTTCCCTAAACCTAGATCAGCTATATTCATCTACTTTCTCATCTTATTTTGTTTAATTGTATGATTCTGTGCATGATTCTTTCTTGTAATAAGAAAACTAAGAAGCCCCAGAAGCTGCTGGAGACAAACCTCACCTAGAGGTGCTACGTTGATGACGTAGCCATCACCCAAGTACAAGGCCCAGTGCTGATAGCCAGGACGAAACACTTCAATCAAGTCCCCTGGCCGGGGGTTGCCAGGATACTTCAAACTAAAGCAATCATTAAACGCCATCTGTAATGACAGACATAAAGAAAATCTAGCTGATGCAATCTGCCAAAAGAAAATCAGTTAAAACTTCCATACAAGCAAAGGGAGACAGAATTTATTAGGATTATACTCCTTATTAAAGACCTAGACTCATGCCCTTGACTGTTTGTTTGAATGATTCCAACACTGGATTACATGTGCACAAGAGAACAAGTGGAGAAAGAGTTTGTCTGCTATTGCTTCATTTTCTGTAGCAATGTTTCTCATCCTGATTAGTCTCAGGGCCCCTTTATTATAATAAGCATTTTATAATTATCTCTCTAAATCCAGAAATTCACAGATAATATTACTTACCTATAGACAAAACTTCAAGAATATTAATATGATGCCCTATTTGGAATAGAAAAGGGAAGGACATTTATATGACTAGCTGTATTACCATGTAAATAACTATACAAAAGACATAATAAAGTATGTAAATACTTGCATTTACTGAGCATGAAGAAGTCAGAATTCAAAAGCAGAAGATGAGAAGTCTTTCAACCTTTCATACAGCAGCATAATAAAATCAAAGAGCAGAGGTATGGGTGGGTGCTAATACTCTGTGGGGGAAAAAACCACTGTATTACAAAACTTACTCTGTGAGTTCATTTAAGCAGACCTAAGCTCCAGGCTCAGATGAGTATCTAGCCAGATATTCAGGCATCTAGTAGGACACAGGATATTTCTTCCTTGTGCTGGACTGTGCTGTGCAAGCCTAGGCACTCTGGCCTCCACCCACTAAATCTCAGTAAACGCCCTTTGTCACTGTGATAGCCACCAACACCCCCACAGACAATCCCACCCCACACTGCTCTGCCTACTGCCCGATTCCTCACTTACCGACTCCAGAAACAGTGTGAAGTGGTCAGCCCTGAAGTGGGGTAACTTGGAAGGTTGGGAAATTCATCCTATTGACGAGTATATCTGAAAATTCTAAGTTTGATGAGCTTGTTTTTCCTTATAAATTAACACTTTTTAGAAAAAAGCCTATAAGCCTCTTACAGTTTATTTTTATGGAAGGTTGCATTCTCTCTATATGGCACAGAACTAGAATAGGAAGTTATGTATATCCACCAAAAATCAAAAGATTTAATGCTAAATCCATGTTGGATATCTAATTGACAACAGAGTGTTCCTCATCATCTAATATACAAAATAAATCCAAGTGCCAGAAAGGGAAACTTCCAAATCATCTAAATTATAATTATGATAGCACAGGCTAAGGACTTGAGGACATAAACTATCATTTTTCTGGCACTCTTCAAGTCTTTTTATGACAATATTGGGAGGGTGTTTTCCCAAGTATTTGTGTGCCATCTGTTGAAAACTTCAATCATTACACTGGCACCAAAATGTGGTCCAATATAAACTGTCCATCTGTTGAAAAGTAACTATTAAAACAACTTTATGGAAACCATTAAGTATAACCACCCTCTCAAACATGTTTGAGTCTTATTAATATGGCAGTTCAGAATTTGGCCACGTGGGCACTAGAGGAAAAATAGATCATATACTACAATATAAACAAACACATTTCCAATGAATAGGAATCAGCAAGCACACGCAGCTTCCTGCTAGAATTCAGAGACCTAGCCAAGCCCACGATAATAACCATCATTCAAACAGAGGGCACTTTGTAGTGTAACATTTTTTCTCAAATGCACTCTCTCAATTAACCCTATTTAATTTTTAAAAATCTGCAACTATTTGAGTTTGTAATGTTATTAGCCCATTTTACAGGTAAATAATGACAGTAGAAAATGCCAACTTTTGGAAAACACCTGATGAAACCTTTATATTATAAAATATAGAGGGGTGTATATATTTTATATTAAAATATAAAAATATTTTAATAACATATATTAAAAATATATTATAAAATAACTAGAGTAGGTGTTAAAAATGTGAGCTCTTGCCCTGACCTGTGTGGCTCAGCTGGCTGGGCATCATCCTGAAAATCAAAAGACCACCAGTTTGATTCCCAGTCAGGGCATATGCCTGGGTTGCAGGTGTAGTCCACGGGTCTGGGTTTGGGCAAGAAGCAACCAATCGATGTTTCTCCCTTACATCAATGTTCCTTTCCCTCTATTTATCCTTCCCTTCCCTTCTCTCTGAAATAAATAAATAAATAAAATATGTTTAAAAGTATGAGTTCTTGTTTCGGGTCTTCTAGTTACTAGTTCAGTTACTTAGGGAAAGTTATTCAAATTGTCTAAGTCTCAGCTTTTTCATTTTGAAGGTAGGCAGAAAGTATAAGGCAGGCTGAATTGTGGATCTCGAAAAGCTGCTGCCAGTAACCCTGAATAGACTGTCTAAAAACTGTTCACGAGTGCTTTGTGAACCAGCAAGAGCTAGGCAGGTGGATGGTGAGAAAGGGTGGCTACTTGTAAACGCTGGAAGATTGGTTCACGGCTCATGTGTGATATTAGTGCCTTATCCTCTCTTTCAGCCACAATGATTCTGTGGAATGGATGATTCCACTGCAAAATTTTAATATATTTAACACATTTTAAATTCTGATGTATAACTTGTAAACTGATTTATGCAAAGCAATTTAATTGATTTCATGAAGCCTGTCATTTTTAAAAGGAGAGATGACAGGATAACAAGGAAAGCATTTCATATGAGTAAGGTCTCAATAAATTAAGAGAGGAGTCTGCAGGCTAATATGTAAAGGGAAAAGTAATTTCTGAACCAAACACAGAATCGCAGCAATTTACTGCAGAAAGGTGGTTCAAATATTACCAAACTCAGTGCTCTGCAACCTCATTTTCAGCAGTGGGGCACTGTACCAAATCAAATATCGGAGAGACCCTTAAAAATATACAACATGAACAGCAGAGCTGCCCTGAATGAAGTCGGGGGTGGAGGGCATGACGATCCCATCTGCTCCTTATTGTTGCTGCTACCAAGACTCTTGGACCGCAGACCTTCCAGGAACAGAGCTGGAATAATGCCCACCTAGTCCTAATACAACCCCCTCACTTTTAGGACAGAGGAGACAGAATCCGGTAAGTAACTGGTCTTGCCCAAAGTCACATGGTATTGTAAAAAAGATTTTCAACAAATTGTTTTGCTAGAGGAATTGGACTTTCACTGAGAGGGGGAAGTCAACCTAAGTCTCACACTTTGTACAAAAACATAATGCAAAATGGATCATGAACTTAAATGTGAGATGTAAAACTATACAGCACAGAGAAAAAGCACGTAGGAGAAAATCCTCGGAATCGAGGGTAAGCAAAGAGTTCTTAGACATGTTATCACAAGTATTGTCCATAGAGGGAAAGACTGACACTTGGATGTCCTCAAAATTAAAAACTTGCACTGTAAAAGATCTGTTGAAAGGGCCAGAAAAGAAAAAAATCTACAGAGTAGGAGAAAATATTTTCAAAAACAAAAAGTCTACAGAGTTGGAGAAACTATTTGCAACTATTTGCAAACTATATATCCAATAAAAAAACTAGTTTGGAGAACATATAATGAACTCTCAAAAACTCAGCAAAAAAAAAAGCAAAGAATATAATTAGAACCTGAGCAAAGCACACAAGAACACATTATCTGGAAGAAGAGACACAGATGTCAAGTAAGCCACATTAAACATCACAGGCCATTCGGACAATGCAGATTAAAACCCTGACCAGCAAGACAGCCCTGCACACCAATCACAACAGCAAAAATAAAACCAGCGACCACAAAATGCAGGCAGGGATGTGGGATAACTGAGGAGAACACAAAATGGTGCAGGCACTTCGGAAGAAGTCTCAGTTTCTTCAAACACTTCATTTGCAACCTCTATATGATCCAGAAACTGCACTCCTAGCCACTTATCCCAGAGATGGAAGACCATGAAGACTTACAATCATGCAAAAATCTCCACACACGAGTGTCTATAGCAGCTTATTCATAATAGCCAAACCTGGAAACAACCTAGATGACCTTCAACAGGTGAATGGTTAAACAAACGGCGGTCCAGCCAGACTATCAAACAGTACTGCTAAGGAACAAAAAAGAACAAACTATCGATGCATGCAAGGACCTGATTAATCTCCAGAGAATTACGCTGAGTGAAAAAAAGATGACAAAAGTTGCATAATGTATGATTCTATTTGCATAACATTTTGAAATTACAAAATTATAGACATAAAGAACAAATAGTGACTGCAGAGGGTTAGGAAGAGAGGGAAGTCAGTGTGGCTGTGAAAAGGCCACAAGGGAGATCCTAGTGGTGACGGAGAAGCTGTCAGGTCAATGTCCGTCTCCTGGCTGTGATCTTGTGTTGCAGTTCTGCAAGTTGTTACCACTGGGGGAAACTAGATAAAGGAGCAAGGAATCTCTCTGTATTATTTCTTACCACTGCATATGAATCTACAATTACTTCAAAATAAAAAATAATAATTTAAAAAAGACTAATCTTTTTTTAATAGAGTATAGAAGAGGACCAATATGTGCAAGTTACACTGAGGCATTGTGAGCTGTGCATGAAGAATATTTTTCTTTCCTTGAAGGGGATCCAATAATGGAATGGAGCACCTTCTGCAGAGTGCAGTTTCTGTCACTGGAAATATTTAAACACAGTCAGGGTTGATAAAAATAAAATTCCTATGGTGGGGATGCAGATGGGAGGGTGTTAGGGTAAGGAGGCTTTCTCAGGTCCCTTTCAACTATAATGTTCTCATTCTTTTTTCCAGAAAATGTGCTACGTGTAATCCCCAAATCAATACCACAAAATAGATATAATTACTTCCCCCATTTGAAAGATGTGGAACCTGATGTTCATGGCAGTTCAGGAATTCATCTGAAATCACACAGCAGGAAAGGGCAGAACCCACACCTGGTCTCAGATTAGCCTGCCTCCGGGGCAGGCCCCTAATCCTACCTGCTTCTCCTCATGCACACTTACAGGGACTCCCTTGCTGACATTTTGGAGCCCTCCTTGCATGCTGTCAGACTGCCTGACATCTGTGAGCTGATTATCACGACCACCATCTCACAGACAAAGAATCTGAGACTCAGGTGACTTATATGTCAGACCCAAAGCCAGAAGGAGTGAGTGATGGAACTAGATTTCAATTCCAGGTTTGTCTTCTTATTCCAGACTGCATGCTCCTGCTTTATACCACTGATTAACACCATTCTCCAAAGGAACTTCTACGAGACAGTCTTTCATCCTGTCCCTCTTCCCAACTACCTATTAGATAAAGAAGCTGCAAAGCACACAGAATATATATTTCATATACCAACACAGGAAGTTTCTAAATTCATATGTGGAAACATACACATGTGGAACATTACTCCACATTCATATGTGGAGTAATGAGTAGAGCCTTGGGGTACCCTTGCTCTTCCCCAGCAGGTAAGATGTTAAGGTAAAGCCAGAAGCATCACCAGGGGTGTCACACTCATTTTCACCAGGGGCCACATCAATCTCGTGGTGGCCTTCAAAGGGCCGAATAATTTTAGGACTGTATAAATGCAACTACTCCTTAACTGTTAAGGAGTTGAAACTACATTTTGTCTTTTGAAGGCAACCTCAAGGTGGATGTGGCCCCCGGTGAGAGTGAGTTTGACACCCCTGATCTAGCAGATGCCCAGACCCAGACCTTAGGGAAATGGCTATGTGTCTGGCTTGAGTTAATTTGATTTACATGGACCACTTCTATCCATTTCATTCAGGGACAACTATGTAATGTAGTACTTCATAAATGATAAAATAGAACTAATGAAAGATACATTTATAAAGTCCTCTAAGATACTTTGTCTCACCTTTAAGATAAAAATATTTCATTTTAACAGTTCATATGCACAGAATTGTTTGATCAGTTTAAAATAAAGAGTGGCATGAAGGTAAATCTATAATCTTTGTAACTGATTTCCCTTTCAGCTGCTGAAACAGGCTGCCCTGTGTATGGCTCCATGTTTGGTCCCTAGGGATGCATCAAAAAAAAAAAAAAAAACAGTAATAACTGCCCCCTGCACAGAGAGACAAACAGTCTGATTAACTGCTTCTCGTGCCCAGGAGGATACCTCTGTTACAGGACTACGAAGAGTACTTTTTCACAATCTACTCCCAAGAATGCTGTGGGAGTCTGAAACACTATGACAAACTATCCCCTGCAGTCCAACAGTCTCCCAGTTCAATTTGGACCCTTTCCCGTTCCAGCTGCATTTTTCATCCACAGTCCTGCTGCACAGAGGTGGCTTCATGAAGCTTTGTGCTCCTAGACTGGCTGATTCACATGGCCTCAGAGCTGCAAGGACCCTCGGTCCAGCATCCTCACTGCAGCTGAGGGTTCCACCTGCCAGCCAGATTAACCAGCCACAGCCACTGCACTGTCATTCTCTGATTAGAATCCCTCCAAAGTTCCCCACTACCAGCTCCTCATCTTGTCCCCTCTATAATGGTGGCCTCCTTATTCACCCCTACATTCTAGGCAAAGCAAACTAATCCTCATTCCTCACACTCACCTGGAATTTTGTTGCTAACACTGAACCCTCTACCTGGAATGCACTGCCCGTTTCTAAATGTCCCCAAATGACCCAGTCTTATAGATCCAGGTCAGATGCTGCTCCCTCCCTGAGTTTCTCCTCCAGTCAGCCAGAAATGAGATCTCCTCCCGAGTCTCCACGGAGCCTCCTATCTGATGCCCACTGCATTTCCGCTCCCTGCGTCAGTTACTGGTGTCTGGGGAATTTTCTCTTCTGCTTGATGTGGAGGACTGGTTCTTGTTTATCTCTATACCTCCAGCTTCCTGCAGAGTGCCTGGCACAAAGAACTGTGCTTTAATGAAGGGGTGAGGAGCTGAAGCAGAAGGAGGATGGAATGGCTGGGGTTTCCCAGCACTAAATCGCATCCATAGTCCTGAATGCCCAAGTAATAGCACCATTCATATTTCCAAAATCAAATATTTTATAATAAGAACTACTTGTACTATTACTCATCTCCACTTCAGTGAGAACAGTAAGTTTAAAAAACCTTGGGAAACCAGACCCGGTTTCTAGTACAGGTTCTTCCACTTAATAGGTGTGCGACTTGGAGACATCAGTCTAGCTTTCCCTCAGAACGCTGTTGTCCCATTAAAAAAAAAAAAAAACTGGTGGGGGAGGGGGTTAAATTATGCAGATGCTCTCTCTGGAGCTTTTTCCATTACAGTTGGTTCAAACAAATTTGGCAGCCTGTAGGTCCTCCCTCCCTATCCCTGGCACACCTCGCTCTTAAAGCCCGGTCGTCTTGCCCCACTGGTGGCAGCTGCGGAGGTCCCAGAGTCGCCCTGGCCTTTCAGCTGCTGGCCTCCCGCTAGCGGCCGCAGGCTGCCTCCATCTGCTCCAGGCGGACGTCTAGGCGACAGCAACTGACTACCAACCCAAGTCTGCCTCCAGCGCCAGCGCCAACGCCAGCCCCGCCGCGTGGAGACGCTCCGCGCTGGAGACACTACAGCGCATGCGCAGCCCTCCGCCCCCGCTCCAGCAGCGCGCCCTTGGGCGCACCCTAACGCTGCACCCCCAACACTATCCCCACCCCCACCCCAACCCTGAACACGTGCCCCGCCTTTCTCACCCCAGGCGCATTGATGCCACACCTCCCCTCCCCACCCTCCGCCCCAAACCCAGAGGTTAAAACGCAGCTCTGGCGTTGTACCTGACCAATGACCTCCCTCCCAAGCCCTTGGACAGTCCTGCAACTAACTTTGATGGCTGAGGTTATAAAGTTAACTTGTCGTGTCGAGCCCACAATTGTTGGTGTGCACACACGAATACACATTACACCCACTCGAAGTATGCCCCCTTTTAGCTCTACACAAACTCTTCTATGCCTGTGGAAAAAATCCTGGTCCCTGCCCCCAAAGAAAATATCTCAGCAAAGACGGGAGGAAGGATTGGCCTTAAAAAATAAAAGCAAACACAAAAAAAACCCCTCCCTGCTTCCCACCGCACACACCCCTGCAGGATATGTGCTTTTGAGCCCAGTTCAGCGTCCAGAGGCTGTGAGGACACGCTTGGACGTCGCTCCCTTTGGACCCCTCTCTGTCACCACCCTCCAACCTCAGATCAACTTCAGAGTGGGAATGGGGAGAAAGAAGAAAGCAGAAAGGAAGGATGCACTGGTCCCTGTTCCACAAGACCTCCAGGTACCAGTTTTCCCCAGGGGGCAATGAAATTTACCTGGCTCTGGATGGGGCCTTCATTAAAGACAAGACTCTCTCAGGCAGCCCATTCCCCTTCCCACCTCCCCAGCCCGGTCCCTAACAGCGATCTGGTTTTAGATAGACAAACAGAGCAAGTCCCTTATTCAGCGTGACTTGGGTGCATGTGACAGAGCTGGGCCTGACTCTCTTTCAGGCCAGGTAGGCCGGCAGAGGCCTGCAGGAACACAGCCATGTGAGTTTAAAAATAAAGCTGGGAAATGAAGAGTATCCTTTTTCTCACTGCTCAGAAAGAGAGGCCAGAAACACTAGCCAGCTAAGTAAGGAAGCCTGGCAGACTGCTTGCAAAGTGCAGTTTTTGGAGCACTGCACAGGCCTTTCCTTCAAATAAGTCATAACCTAGATTTTTACTCTGATGTAAATGGAATCTCAGCTAAAAGGAAGGGTTTTTTTCTTCCTTCTGATTCAAAGGCAGAGATATCTTGCTAATTTTATATTTTGTCACAATGAGATAGAACTACCTTAAAATGCAGCAGCTTTTAAAAAGGAATCAGGTTGTGTTATGAAGGTTAAGGGTGTATCTGAATGTGTTTGGAAACAGAGAGTACCTAGAAAAACATTGAAAGCACGTGGGAGCAGATATAATCATTGGCAAAGTGAAAACTAGAACACTTGAGAGGTTGGAGCTTTGTTTTTTTTTTATGAGTTTATGTTTTTCTTATGCATTCTCTTTTCAATACATCTTGTTATAGACTGAATCAGATATGCCTTTCAGTAGCCTTTTAATGTCTCAAAAAGAAAGTCATAAACATGCATTTGCTTTATGTTCCCCAACTATTTCAATTTAGTCATCACTGAAGGAAGTGGTTCATGATTTTATATAGGAGAGTTATTGTGAGCACTTATAAAGCCATCCTGCTTATGAGCTGAATTTATTATGTTTGCCAGGTTAATCTGTTTTCTCTAATCGGACACTTAATCATCCAGTCTCCTCCCTACATTATGGATTCATGAATGTCAACTCAGGAGTGTTGCTCAGTCACGGAGAAATGATAAATTAACTTTTCATTTGAGGTATTTGTGATTAAATGCATCATAGCAGAATGAAAATAAAATAAATCTTGTATTTTTACTTCTAGATCCCTGCCAGGTATAGATAAAATGCATTTGATTAAGAGTGAATTCAATTTGATGCCTGAATAGAATTTGGAGGAGAAACAGACAAAGCTTTGGAGTTCAAGAAAGCTGAGTTCTCTCTGCATTTCTATAGCTTGGAAAAATTGTTAATCACTCAGAGGTATACTATAGATGAACAGCACAAAATTAAAATTTCCATTCAAAACAAATGAGGAATTAGTCTCAGGCAGTGATAGCCAAAGTCTGACTGAACCTAGAGTTGTAATTCTAGGACCCTAAGGGCTGCACATGGTATGTTATGGGAGAAGATGTTACAACCAAATAACAGTTCCCATTATTTTGGCTTTTATATTACGTGAAGCTCTACCTAGATGGCACTGTCAGTTGCTGCCTAGTTGGGTTGAGAGGGTTGAAACATATTGAAATAATCATAATGAAGATGATTTAGTCATCTTTGTTGTTAAATGAATAAAGTCCACATTCAAGTAAAAGCTCTGTGAGGTGAGTCATTGTTTGCTTTTTTAACACATGGAGACTAAAAACAATTGGCATTGTGTAATGTTAGATGGTCCTCAAAAACAACCCTATTTTGGGATGCTCATTTTACAATTAGCAAAGTATTTTCATATCCTTTATATCATTTGATCTTCACAAGATGCTCAGATCCTGGCAGTGGCTCTGAGTCCTGAGCCATGGAGCTCCGCGCTTGGGGTCTGCGGGGGTCAGACCCAGAGCAGGCCCCTTGGTCAAGAGCTCTTCCTCTACCCAGACTCCATCTTTAGTCAGACAGTAAAAGCAAAGTTTTTTTTTTTTCAGATGGAAAAAAAACCCCCACCGAAACAAAAAACCTGCATCTATGAAGTGAATGAGACCTGGTGCAAAAAACAAAACAAACAAACATACATATAAAAAAAGGGGGGGTATTGTAAAGATCACGTAGCTTTAACAGAGTTATTTGCTGAGATAATTCAGAGGTTGTTGGCTACATGAACATAGTGAGTGAGAGCTGAGACAGTCATTCAAACAGTTCCAACTCCACCCTGCAAAATCTGTGCTGTTAAAGTAAGAGCTTTTTTTCATGACTTGAAGGAATATCCAGGCTACACGTCTGCACAGATCAGACTTTTGTACAAATTACTCAAGTCTCTCATCCAATCTGCTTAGTACATCTTGGTCAATGTGACTGGAACTAGAAATCTGTTTCCCTACAGAGCCCTCACGTAGTGTACATCCCAGCTATGTGATCTCTCTGTGACTGCTGCTTCCCAGTAGTTATGTGTATTTGAAATCACTAAGCTTGGTGAGCTAGGCTGAGCCAAGTCTCTGGGGCAGTCAAAGGGCAGATGGAGAGAAGAATGATTTAATGAAGCCCAGGCCAGAGGCACAGAAACCTATCAGCAGCACATGGCAAAGAAGCAAGGAAAGGGGTATGCCTTCTGTAGAAGAAGTTGTCTGCATTCTGCCCTGGGAAAAGACAACGGAGAAACCAAGCACAGTAAGTCAGGAGTCTTGGGTTCTAATCTCATTCCTGCCACTTGCTAGCTGTGTGTGTGTTATGGGACATGTATGAAATGGGAAAAATAACAAAATAGCCAGTCATTTTCATTTTTTATAAAAAGGTCTTTTAAATATGCAGAAGGCATAATACACATAAGAAAGAATAAATTCACATAATGCAACATACAGATGATGTGTACAGATGATGTACACTTGAAACCTATATAACTTTATTAACTAACCAATGTCACCCCAATGAATTTATTAAAACTTTTTTTAAAAAGGAAAGAATAAGCCCTGGCTGGCGTAGCTCAGTGGATTGAACGCGGGCTGCAAACCAAAGTGTTGCAGGTTCGATTCCCAGTCAGGGTACATGCCTGGGTTGTAGGCCATGACCCCCAGCAACCACACAATGATGTTTCTCTCCTTCTCTCTCTCTCTCTCTCTCTCTCTCTCTCTCTCTCTCTCTCTCTCTCCCTCCCTCCCTCCCTTCCCTCTCTAAAAATAAATAAATAAAATATTTTTTTAAAAAAAGAAAGAATAAATTCAAACTATAGTTGGTTGACAGATATAACACAAGTGTATCCTTAGAAATGACATTTACAGTTCACTGTATTCAGGAAGAGAAATGACTTAACATACACATAATGGTTCTATTCCTGCTTTCTGTATTTGCCTCTTTCCCTATGAACTTCCAAGGAAGTTGTTATATCTATTCATTGTAACATTTACATAGCACAAGTATCTGTCACTTAAAAGTGACACTGACATATAGTTAAATCTTTATATCTTTTATTAGTCAAATAAAAGCGTATCACTAGAAAGAATCAAGAACCATAAATGATTTCAGGGACTTTGCTCTAAGGGGAAATCATGTAGTGCATTTGGGAAATGGTAATTCTGACTTGGTCCTCTATAAAATGCTAAATTTCTGCACAAAATCTTAAAGCACAAGTGTTTATAGGAGTCGTGGTGATGAGAAAAGCTATAGTAAATGTGCCTTCACACTAAAATTCCCATCTCCATGGAAACCCCTGAAGTTTGTGAGTGTACACATATATGGTCTGTAGTGTTTATTGAAGGGTGGGGATTGGTGGGTGGCTGTGCTCTGGAGCTGACAGAGTCTTGGGAGCTGCTCATCACAGGCCTGATGTTCTTCCTCCTGATTTTAATTACAGAGAAATTCAGACATCTTAGGCGTGAGAGAGGGGGGGAAAAGGATGTTTATATATTTACATGTGCTTGTATCTCAGAATACAGTGCGTTAAATCAGATTTTTATCAAAAAAGCCTGAAGAACTAAAAGTGCTTCTCTCTTCCCCCACATTTGTTGCTACATTTTAAAAAACTCTTTAGATTTTTATGTGCACAGTTCCATATATTTCTGTTTAATTACATTATATTGATTATGCTATTACAGTTGTCCCAATTTTCCCCTTTTATCTCCCTCTACCCAGCACCCCCACTTTCTTAGTCAATCCCCCCACGATTGTTCATGTCCATGGGTCAAGTGGATAAGTTTTTTGGCTACTCATTTCCTATACTGTACATCCCCATGGCTATTCTGTAACTACCTATTTGTACTTCTTAATCCCCTCACATCTTCACCT